TCCCCCCTCCGGTGCGGAATCCTCAATCACTTCACTTGGGGGAACTGCATTGGCAGTGCGACCATTTGCGTTCGGACGTCTCCTCCTTCGGTTTGATTTTTTCGCCTCTTCCCCTTCTGTCAAAACAACAGAGAGAAATAGAAAGTACAGCGAAAAATTGATCCATGCCAATTACCACTGCAATGTGAATAGCTTAATGGCGACTTGATGTCACTCAACCAGTGTTGCAAGGACGCACAATGCGTTTCAATGCTAAAGCTGGAAGTTGGGCTAACCTGTTTTTACTTGAATGCATTTCGCTAGCGAGAACAAGACAAAAATAAAAAAATGTATACAGGACGCTCACTAGACATCAACTGAAATTCTACTCCAGACCTAGGCAAGCATGGAAGGCAGACAAGTAGGCAAGCGTCCCCTCAATTACTCTCACGGAAACACAGCTGAGCTTCCTGTAAAGGTGCACAAGTGAGACGTAGCCTCGCATGTGTTCCCGCTACAAGAATGTGTAATTTACCATTGACTTTTTTACCAATAGTACGCAGAAATAGCAAAAGTAAGTTCTGTCTCCAGATAAGGCTCAGTTTCAGAAAGGGCTATAGTTATTTATGTGAATACAGTATACATATGTGTAGGGCTGCACTAAATTATGTGCGGGTGCTGGTTACATCACACTGGATTGTTCATTCAATACCAGTCATGTAAAACAAGTAAATGCTATTCATATAAAAAAAGTGAAATAAAGTGCACTGTATGTTAAAAACGAAACATGTTACTGCATTATATGAAGCTTAGTGTAACAGTACCCAACAGTAAACCAGTGGGCCGGACAATGCACCATATAATGACATTAAGGCGGTAACGACACAAACATTTTTGCCTCACGCTTTTTTACTGCAATGTCTTCCTGGGGGCCTGTTAGTCATAACAGGACACATCGTTTTCTTTTTTCAGTGTGTAATAGATAATTATTTACAGGCTCATTATTACCGACCAATGTCGGTTTTGGTTTCAATAACGACAAGCCACCAGGTCATCACCGCCTAGCGGGTGTAATGCTCTACCATGTCAACCATGTCAGTACACTGAACTGCGATGCACTTTCGCATGATTTGTATCAACATTTTGAACAGGAAACGGGACAGCAATGTCATCAAACACAAAACTTTCAACTCGTGCAACGCGGCCATGCACTCCTGAGCAATAGTTTGCTGGAGCAAATGCGACCAAAGAAAAATCGCAGCTAAGATGCTGTCATAACTTGATGCAGCATGGTCATATCAGGGGACCCCTTTGAGGGTGTCAATAGCACGATAGAATCGATCACTCATGAAAACTTCAAAATTAATTTAAAATACCTACCAAGTTATACTCGCTGTTGATATACGCATATTCACAGGAATCGATCCTGCAGGCTGTCTCAACCGCAAAATTTTGTGTCAGTACCCTTTTAAGTGAAAATTATCAGGTACACAATTCCTTCAATGACTAACTTTAGGCAAATTTTATGTTTATTTGCATTGAAAAGTTCTCAAAGATAATAATGTTTTTAAAACATTTTTTTAAATTCAAAGTTAAATCGAAATTATTTAAGGTAATGCGCAGGTCAAGTTAGCAAATGTTCACTTTGCATTAGGGAATACGCTACAGCGGAATGCTCACCTTCAACAAGCTGGCGAATAATCTTGACCCTAAAAAGAAACACAACGCAAAGGGTTAAACTCAGACAAAATTTACTCTTACACTAATTACATTTACTCATGATATTCGCCAACTACCTTTCAGCAGCAACACAAGGACCTCATATCGTCTACAACATAGTAAAGAGCACATAATGACACGGCAAATTACAGACTACTAACAAAGCAAACACGAAAAGCTGATTCACTGGCTAACACTAGACAGTGATTTTGTTTGTGTTGTCAACTAGAGGAAACAATGACATTTTTTTGTCAGACTGCCGCTGCAAATTTTCGATTACGCCTATACCTTCTGTGAGCCATGACAATCATACGCAGCTTCTCTCCAAGGTCCTGGAGTTCATGAATCTGGACAAATGTCCCCACACTGTACAGGTCATCCAGCTTGTCTACCACTTCGGATTCATTACTGCAATGAGAAAAAAGAATAATGAGTACTTCGTTGAGAATATACGCAGTTAGCACAAATGGCACAATTAAAGAGCAAATACTTTCCTTTGTTTTTTAATATTAACACCCTGGCATAGCTTAAGCTAACATTTTGAAAGCTGTAACTCCGTGCAAATGTTTAAAAGAAGCCACCGGCAATTTTCCAATTTCAAACAAAAAATAATCCCACCTACCTGAGATCATTACTAAATTGTCACAGTTGAATTCAGTTGCACATCCTACACTGTATGAGCACTGTTTTTCTTTTTGCATTTTTACTCATTTCACCTGCACAGGAGGTTCTGCCAGCAGTAGCCTTTCTTGTAGCCCCATTAAAGCACAAACTGAGTCATGGGCAAGAAATTGGACAGTATATTTATAAGAATAAATCCTGTCAAAGAGAGAGTTATTGTTCCGTAGCTTAAAAATTATGGCCATATGAGCAAAAAGTAGCCTGCTATATTACATGCATTCTCATATTTAACATAGCCTACAGGAATAAAATCTACTACTACTACTACTACTACTACTACTAATAATAATAATAATAATAATGACATGAATTCATGGGCTGACAGAAGATGTCAGACAACAAATGAGTAACACTTGACCATAGTCCCAACCTCTTTACTGCTTGTAACAACAGGAAAAATCAGACTCATATTTATAAATATACCTTGTTTTGAAACTGTTACATTCATAAATTATTTCATACCTTCAGCATTCCCGACACATTTCTTTATTTATTTAAGGTACTTTCAAGGCTCGAAGGCACTACAGAAAGGAATGTTGTAAACAATCATAAGTGCAGTTTAAAAAAAAAACATAAACATTCATTATATTCTAATATTGATTCCTTAGTAATATGTACATATATATTTATTGACTATTTCAAAAATAGTTCATGAATAGTTCTGAAGTGTGGCTATTTGTTCTGGCATTAACTTTTTTTATGGATATTTATTGCAATATAGCTGCCCCTTTTCAGCCTCTCTATTTTTCTCTGGAAGCTTGAAACATTACAGGCACAAAGAGCAAGTTTCTGGGCCAATTTTACTTTCAATTAGATAAAAACCTACTATATATTAACTTTGTATTTGTGAAATAAGCAAAAAATTTAAGACTTAAAGATTACTTTTTGTGTTTGTATGTCTGACATGACAGCAACTCACTTGAGGCAACGCAAAGTTGAAAGTGCTCACCTTTCGTCTCGTTTAAGAAATACGCCAGCATATGGCTGATTGAGGCGTACTTTTCGTCTTATCAAGTCGACAAGTGCCGGGTTAGAAACCTGCAACGTTGCATTTTGTAAGATTGTGCAATAAATAAAGAAAGTTGCATAACCATATAGTACTGCTCAGTTCCCCACATAATTACACACTGTAAACATTGAATGCTCATGAAATGTCACAGCACACATACAAACTATTTATGTCTCACATGTGAAATGCTGTGCCAATCACAACACAAAATTAATTCAAACTTGGCACTAAGTACAGATGGCAAGAGATTAGCATTTAATAAAAATTTCATTATTGCTGTACTGCACGTACATATTTTCTCACTGCACGTACATATTTTCTCTTTCGACTTCTATTAAAAAAAAAACTTGTTCACAGGAAACAAGTGGGCGATAACAACAAAGAATACACCTGTACGCTGTTCCTAAAAATAAGTGCAAACTTATCACTGGGTAACTTTGCATAATACGCAGTGGCTTTCCGAGCTTTCAGATAGCGTACCTTCAACTTTGAACATGGAAGCTGAACGCAAGGACGTAGGGTACTCATATGTGCATGTTCCCACCTATTCCTAAACTGCAAGTGCACATTGTCTGTGGCATAGATGCTTTTTTTGTTGTTGTTGAAATAATGTAATAAGTGGTCTCTAACAAAACTTAGAGCAACGGTGACACCGAAATCTTGCGCAAAAAAGAATTGGCGTTTGTAACTGGCGGTAACGGAATACTACTTCCGCACACGAAAACGAAGCCGTGTTCCAAAGTACAGAGTCAAGCCGTCAATGACGGTGTATTGCGCAGTATCTGCATCACCTCATCACTGCGGCGTGCTAGTGCACGAATTTAATGACAATGAACTTACCTCCACCATTTTTATAAACCTTGGAAAGACTGGGTTCCTACTAACAGCTATCACTGGAACTTGAGGCCAAATGTCAGGCACAGTTAGCGCAGTAACTGCACCGACGCCCTGATTAGGGTAATGAATAACACTGCCCTCGTCCTTCGGCGGATCGTCTTCTGGAAGCTCGTCGGGCTTCTGCTGATCACAGTAAAGCCTCGCACTGTTCGTGAAAGCTCCCCCAAGAGTCTGGAACTTGTTGGTAGAGGGTGCGAGCCATGGTCTCCCAGCAGCGGCATCGCCCCTAAACTGTCGCCAGCTACCGAGGCGACACAACGCTGACGCGCTACTGTAGTGTCTCCAGTTGCTTCCGAACACACCTAATCTTTGTAATAGTCTTCTGGAAGTCGAAGAGCCACCAACAGGTAATGCGCAGCTGAAGGCTCTCCGATGTGCTTCAGACGTTGCCGAGGTCACGAAGTGCGAGTGGTGGCTGCACTGCGATAACCACACGCATGCAGCTGTTCTAGTTGTCGCCCAACCAGCGTTTTTTCCGTTGGAAATGCCACAGTCTTGCCGAACAACTGCTGCATTCAAAAAGTTTCGCCGGGCCACCCGCATGGGATTCTTTAAGAGCGCCGCCATGATAGTCTTTAAACGTGCGTGGTGGAACCGCTGAGACATCTCTCACGACTAAAAATTTTACGAATAGACTCACCGCCAGGGATGCAGCAAAGTGACTAAGTGGCGCTTGATGCGCTACGGCTTCGCGTTGATACAGAGTATTTTTAAGTAATTTGAGGTGAATATCATATAACCTATATTTCTTAACTAATAATTAAAGGGTCATCGTATTACAAATTAACCAATCTGATAACTCTCGCGATATCTCATAATAAACGGCGCAGTGCGTTACTAGCGTTACTCATCAGTCTGTCAGTAGGATTTCGATTACACTTGTTTAAGTTGTGGTGCGTTGTTGTGCTGATTGCTGTGCTGCGCTATTGCGCTTGATTCGGGGCGCGGATTTAACGGTATCGCGCAGTTTAGGCGCACTAAAAGACTTGAAGATACCAAGGCCATAACACGGCCCGAAGGGCCGTCTGGACGCCGATGCTGTAAACAAGATGTGAACCGTATCCCATGCAAGCAGCCGCGTCGTGCCATAAGATGGCAGAGCACGACTTCGACCCGCGGCACCATCGAAAGCACTTTCACGGCAATGCCGTCAGCCAGGATGACGACCGGGAAGGCTGTTTTCCCGAGGAATATGATCCTTTCGCTGGCGACGGCGATTTGATTGAAGACGACTCGAACATCTCTCTGACAGCGCCTCCGCAATCTCAGTAAGCAAATTTTTGCAGCCTCTGAACACACACATGTCGCTGCGGGATATGAGCGCCGATTATAGTTTTCTGGCGAGTCGCTGAACGCAGTGATACCGTTGATGTTCGCAGCTGTTAATCTCCTCGACTAAACATGTTTGATTACGAGTAAACTAGCAGAAGTTTTCTAGCTCCATTTCAGCATCACGAGGGGAAGCACCAGACTTGAAGCACGAGCAACCGTTCGTATTGATTCAGTTGTTATTGCTCGTTTTTTCTTGACATTCCGCACAACTGTCAGTGCTTCCTAAACCTTTGAAAACTGTTGTTACAACGTATGTCAGCTTTCCTGTATAAAGATAATAAAAAGTATTGGACTCATGCGAGTGCCTCGGAGTGGCAGACGCGAAAGCACGGCAAGAAAACATGAGGTAGTGCTTTTTGCAACTCAACAGAGTTCTACCAAATGTTGTATGGCGTTTTATAACTGTAAAATTTGCAATGCATGTGTTTAGTTTATCGAGTTCGGCTGTGGCATGTAACACGCGTGGTGTTTGTGTTCCTTTCAATGCTATTCAAAACATGGCTAAAGCCGCCAAAGTGTCTAGAAGCATTACCAGCCACTAATTGTGTTTGATAATGGACAGGTGGTACCATGGACGATTGGACCGGCATACTGCCGAGCAGCGTCTGCAAGCTGCTGGGGGTCTGGGCCGTTACCTGGTTCGAGAGAGTGACCGCAAGCCAGGCTCATACGTACTCTCCTACCTTGGTCACACTGGTATCAACCACTTCAGGTTTGCATCTATAACACTTATAGAATCCATAGTTCACTTCTTAAGACCACAACTTTCTTTCATATGGCTTCCAGTGAGACCCATATGATAAAATTCAACCCTGTTTGAGTGGAACAGTGTGATTAAACGTGATTAAACGTGTGCAACTGTAATTTTTATGCTCTTTTACTTCATCACTAATTTGGAGTTACTGACAGTTGTAAAGTGCAACTCTCACAGGCTCGCTCCTGAGGTGAGCGTCGTTGTGCATTGTTCCTAGTTGTATTCCTCTATAAACCGAGCGAATGAATGCAGCAAGAAGTGAAAAACAAGAGGGTGAAAAAGAATGCCATGTATGCTGCATTGCACACTTGTCCGATAAACAGAGTTCGGAATGCAGTCACATGGAATTGCATTTTGCTTTCTTCAGATGCTATTGTGTATCCCAACAGATTTTCACAGTGAAGTCTGCAAGTGTATTGAAACCTTTTGATAGTAAGACCAATTATTGGTGTTTACCTACATTTGCGCATTGTGTCCACCGTTTGCTTTGCATGGTCGCTGTGTTGTGTTTAAGATTTTTTTGGTAATATTTAGAGTTTATTAACCCTTTAATGCCTGAATTATGAAACTACTGAATAACATAAATAATGCTTTCATTTTCCAGCTTTAAATAGCAAGATTTAAATGATTCCACATTCAAATTATATAAAATACAACTTGAATGCATACTTTTATGTGTGTTGCAAATTCTCCATATGCCACAGAAGCGAGGACCTAGCAACAAAAAACTTACTTCAAAAGTGTGCAACATGTCCTGTGCGACCTCTCGGGTGCACACACTACAAGTAAATAAAATAATTGAAGATAGAACTTGCTTCACCCAGTCCAGGAAGAATGAAGAAGTGAGAGCTGCTGCACGCGCTTCGCACTCTCCGCCATTGGTTCTAGCATCAAATAGCTTAGACGAGACGGCGCTAGGTTTCTCATGCTGACAGCTACGTTCCCCGTGCGTACTTGACAGCCGGCGTTGAAGGCAACACGCATTTCGTCTCTTGCTCAATGTATTTTGGTATGCCGCCAGTTCGCAACACTGGGCTGTAAAGGAGAAACACTGCGTGGAAACACAAGCAATTTGTGCCATTGGGATGTTTTGTCTGGCAAACCAGGAAACATGCATAGAGCTCCACTCGAATTTCACGCTAGGGAATATTGTAGTACATAGTGTTCGTGAAACGTCACTTCCGCTGCTCTTGTCCTCTCCCACCGTTCCTGGGTACTTAAGGCGCCTTTCATGTGCTGCAGTGCTGACAAGTGGTCATCTGCTGCCACGTGCGATGTTGAAAATCAAACTGTACGTCTTGTATGTTCTACTTGGATGAACTTGTCGGACTATGCAAGAGCTTGGCAGTTGGCTCTATACGAATCTGTTTAAGATCAAAATGTGAGGGACATCAACCGGCTTTCCAGTGGAAGAGATGCCATCACAGATATTGACTTGTTGCCCCCTACAACCTTTGTGTACATATTTATTTTTATTGTTATCTTTACCACAAGTTACGCGACCCAAGTACAAACGAAAGTCTAAAGCCCCTCAATGTGCACAATATTCTCCGAGTCAAGGGTCTTGTAGGGAAGAGCTCTTTTTGAAACAGCCATGTCGTTGTGTGAAGCGAGGTGCTGCTCACGCCACTGAAGTAGTTCATGCGGGAAAAAACAGCAATTTTTCTCCAGTTTCAAGCAGTGCCGAAGCTGAGGCTGTTTTTACAGCATTCATGAAAACAGGAGGAAAATGAAATATTACAATTCCAAGGTGGCTGATTCGCGTAGTTGTACATACTGCTACAAAAATTCTTGTTACTTTTTCTGCCTCGTTTGAATTGTTCTTGCCGTTTTCTGTCATGAATGGCAATGGCAGACCTGAAAATGATGGTAGCAGTTATTTATAGCAGTAACCATCAGTTAAATTAAGAACTCTGGATAGGTGACCTGACCTTCAACTGGAACCAATCGAAAATTCAACCTTATTTGTGCTGTATTTAAACTTCGTTGTTTTATAACACAGCCACCCAAATCCCAATGTAACTTGTCAGAATGGTTGATTGGGTGATTGTCCAATTGAAATGAATGGGGGGTTGATTGAAGTGCTTGTCCCTGTCTTAGCTGTCACGCTCATCTTTCAAACCAAGTCCAGATATTGTCATCATGATATCGATGTCTTTTACATGCGGACAGTGCACGCAGCACGGAATGGTCGTTAGTGACGAATAGCTTGTAGTTGGAGTAATGATGGTAAAATATATTATCTCTTTGTACAGGCAAGTGCTTGACTAGCACAAGCTTGTAATGATTTCACGTGTGCAGAAGTGAATGAATGTTGTTGATGTTCATTTCTTTTGGTGTGCGCCAGCCAAACACACTGGTGCTCTCAGGGAAGTCGTAGTGTACGTTCACAATACTTCCAGTAAACATTTCCAAGCTCCCTGTTCGTAGGCTTTATAGACGACTCGCTTCATCTGCAGCTGAAAATTTCACAAATTGGCACCTTGCAGACTGAGCGGGTGCAAGGGCAACATAACAACTGTGAGCTGTGATATTGTCAATAGGTACTCAGGTATGTCAGTGGTGCTCACAAGAAGTTATCATACTTACACAATTGTAGGTCAATCTATTATAGCTAAATTCGAAATCTGAAGTTGGGGGGTCGTCTTGCGATCAAAGTTGAAACTAGAGGTCCTTCTTCTTTCTTTCTTTACTTCCCCCTCGCTCTCGAGCAATTGTAAGGGGGCCGATTTGGGTCAACTTACAATTGTGTAAATACTACGCATCAGTGCTAGTTCTTTAAGTTCTTCTTTAATAAACAACTGATAAGATGTACTGCTAGCTTGATATACTACTGGCCTTTACAGTCAGGACACACATCCTTCAAGAGAAAATGTTGGAACATCAGTGACAGGGCCAGATAACGTTGACGAGCCTGCTTTGCATTGACATTGACCCAGGATCACTGCTGTTTGCGGCGACTACTACATCGGCGGCCGTCAGTTTGACTCGCTGTCTGACCTCATTGGCTACTACACCGGCTGGTCGGACTTGCTGAAGAAGGAACGCCTCATTCAGCCAGTTTCTCCTCCCGAGGCAAGCAGTGAATTAATTAGGTGTAAAAAATGACACTTTTTTTCTTGCTAATGCTATTGCATTGCTTGTTCATAGCTGTTTAAGAACTGAAAGATAAAAAGGCTGCAACTACTTTGCATACTTGCTCCACTCTCTACTATATTTTGTATTAGCTTGTCTTTTTTACACTATAGTACTGATAGTTTTTTTTTTACAAGGTCATAAATTTTTATTGTGGTAGAAAAGCAGAAATACATACAGCACCACTAGTAAACATGTTTGATTATTTTGTGTAAAGTGCTTAATTCTCAAGCTATCAGTTTCATGCATTGATATTAGATATCACTTCCATGCTTTGTCAGTATAAAGCTCAATAGTTGCCTTAGTGAAATACAATTGCTTCAAGTTCTTGGGACCCCATGATAGCACAAGAATATGTAGTGCACACCTATATTGCGCTTCATGGTTATTGATGTTTGCTACTATTTCGGCACTTTTGATGGTGGGAAAAATAGAGTACAGGTGTGTAATGTGAGGACATTACTCGCGAAATCATCTGGTTGACTACGCTATGCCGAGCAAAGACAAGGGAAGGAATAGAACAACGATGGAGATACAATGGATATTTATCACAGCCGCCGGCCCATCTTAGAGCTTACAGTTGCAATAGTTCTGTTAATTCTTGTTGTGCTTCTGTAGTTGTTAGCAGTGTGTTACACTTCTACTACTCAAGAGTATTGTAATTATGCTAGTGTCATCAAAAACAAAATTGAAGAGGATTTTGTGTTTGTCACGAAATGCTCTAAAAGTTGCAAGAGGTAATGTTGACTTGAAATAAACACTTTTAGGTGTACATTTAATTGAGCAGCATAGGTCAGGAGGTAATATACAGCTTGTTATTTCATGTCTGCCAGCTTATTCTGTCATCTTATAAGCCTTTTTGTAACTATACCTTTTTTTTTTTGCTTGCTTGTTTACACGTACAACAGCCTGTCAATGACAAGAAGCGAGCCATTGCAGTCCTGCCATATGTGAAGATGGCTGACACAGATGAACTAAGGTCAGTGACCTGTTTATAGTGCTCATCTAAGATCTGATTTTGTTTTTGGTATTGAGAGAGTAATTTTTTCAAACACATCAGTCTTAGTAAAAGTAATTTTTGACCTTTCAAAGGTTAGTCTTTGTTGCTCATCTGCTGATAGCAGTTAATGTAATCCAACTTGTTTGAGGTGTTCTTATCTGCGGCGTTTGTGGTACAGCTTCCAGAAAGGGGACATCTTTGTGGTTCACAATGACATGGGTGATGGCTGGCTGTGGTGCACCCTGCATCGCACTCAAGAAAGTGGGCTCGTCTTCAAGGAGCTTTTGGAGGAACTGGTGAGTAGGGATAGCGTGGCCATTCTACTGAAACTCTCCGTTTTGCTTTCAAGTAGATATATTGAATCCGTTTACTTCTTAGCATATAATTCTGTTAACAGAGTAAAATTAGCATATCTTATCATAGTCGTTGAAGTGTAACCAGTTTCTTTTTTTTAATTATTTTTTGCTTTGCAGGATGATAATGTAGATCCGAACGAAATATACCCTTGGTTTCATGGGGACATCTCGAAGGAAGCTGCTGTTGAAGAGCTTGCAAAAAGTAAGCTCTTACTACTGCTCTATACTATGTTGATTGTGTGCATGTATCTGTACAGTTTGCTTTTTATACTTGGTAAACTAGCATCGTTATAAACGAACAAAAGTTGAAGCTTTATTTGGAGGTAATGATGAGTAGGGCATATGCTTAGATGTTATTTTGTGATGGTGTTATTAGGCCTGTTGCAACATCTGATAGATAAACACAATCTTAAACTCTATAACCTTTATTCTCTATCTAGTGGGCCCGGGAAGCTTTCTGGTGCGTCCAAGTGACAATTCACCAGGGAACTTCTCCCTGTTCTTCCATATTAACAACACCATTCAGAGGTTTCGAATAGAAAGAAGAGGAAACCGTTATGTCATGGGTGGACGAACCTTTCACAGGTAGCGTGGCAGCATCCCTCATCTCGTTTTACGTCATTATTTCGTTGCGTGCATCTGAGCCAAAAACTTCAGTTTTTGCCATTTCTAGCTCGCTTGCGCATTCACGACTGGCGATGATGTTTTGCTATAACACATATGATAAAGGCCCAGTAAAAGGTGCCATAGTATCTGGGGTCTCAACATTGTTAGGGTGCTTGCTCAGTCTGCATGTGGTGGCAAGGGATTACTGTTCTGGTTGCGTTGCCGTACACTTAAAAATTGTTAATTAGCTCACATTCTGTAACATTGTTCACTCTATATAGAGTCTTGATCCAGCAGTGTACTAATGGACTTTGTTACGACTATAGTCTAAATGACGCAGCAGAGTATGGAACATGACATGGCCCTTTTTGGTGTGTCAAGACTCGCATACGCTTTTCTGCTAGTTAGTAGTTGCACCAGTGAACTCAATCTCAGTCTCACATTGAAGAACAAAACATATTGCATAACCACGTCTACTCTTGTTCGACGAATTTACATTACCTCATTGTTTGGTAACCCCATTTTTAAATAATTGGTACACATGGAACCTTTCTTATGTGTGAAAATTCAGTAGTGGTGTCATTAGCAAAGCATTTTCAGTTGAATATTTTTGCCTTCCCCACGAGGAGTTCTAGCATTGTGCAGAGTGTGTTATAGATTGTTGTCATTACCTTTGACCTTATAAAAATGGTGGTTGTGTTTGGCAAGTGTGCTGATTGCTAACAGTTTTCTTGTTGCTGCATCATGATACTGATTGTAACACTTTTTAAAAAAAATAGGTGTTTTTCTGCCTTGTTTTCAGTCTTGAGGCAGTGGTGAGCCGCTATAAGGTGGAACAAATAGTGGAAGGCCATGTCCTCGGAGACCCCGTGCTGAAGGTGCGTAACTTTTCTTGCTGTTGCACTCTTTTTATACTTTTTATGCTTTTGCTCTCTGATATACTTTAAACATAAAACGTAACACATCTGTGGAGACAGTGCTCTAAAAAGCATTTCTCTCTTCTGTATATATCGGTAAAATAACCAGTTTGTTATATTGCAGATGCAAATATTGTACACAGGAAATACAGGTTGAGATACTGGCATTTGCTATGAGTGTAAAGTGGTGTATTGTGGTTTGAACAACCAGCTTGTTTTATCTTGCACGAAGGTTCTTCGGTGGACTAGTTTGTTCATGGACATTGTGGCAAAACACCGCAGAAACCGAGAACCTTGCGCATTACATTTCTCCTACATTGGACCCTTTCAGCACTGTTACCTGTGGGCTCATCGTCAAATTTTCTGTGCTGTTTTGCCACGATTGTTATGTTTATTATTATTTTTTTTCTTCTGCAAGCACATCACATAAGCGTCAACACTGTTCGTGTTTGTTCCTCACCTGCTTTTGTCTCACCTGATTTGTTTCTCACAAGCATTTAGAGAAATTAATCTTTATTCATACGTAACCGCGGAAGCTCATACACATGTCACTTCAAGTTTGTGACATGTTCTTAATTTTGAGTTTCAGGCCCCTTACGAGACCTGTCACTCGAGCCGGGCTGAAGAGCTCCAGCATCGGTCGCGCGACATTTATGCCACGCTGCGGGAGAGCCGAGAAACTGGCATGGCAAAGCGCAGCAAAGGCGTTCGCATGCAGGGCTACCTCTCTAAGAAAAGTGAGCACCACTGAGGCTCATTGCGTGATCTTCTAGCCCTTCTGTGTCGCATATCAGTCCTTCTTGTCAAGACTTTGTGCTCATTATTCATCAGTCTTGTTTCCTGATGGCATTGTGTTTGAAGTTATCAGCGTGATAAGTTTTGAATAATTTATGTGTTTGAATTGCAATATGAGGGTCAATAAAAACAATTATTGGTGTTTTATGCCCTAAAGCCATGATATAATTATGAGATAGTATGCGGTCGTGGAGCGCTCCGAAAATTTAGACGGCCCAGGGTCCTTTAATATGCACTTAGATAAATCTAAGCATACTGACCTCTGTCATTTTTCCTCCCTCGGAAATGTTATGAGACACTAGAACTTACCGTCTTTGCTGCTACTTGATAGTGCTGTGCAACTAACTGGCAGTCATTTGTGATTAGGAAATTATTTGTGTTAAGCATAGGACAGGCAACCGGTGGTCAGTAACAGCGACCGAACAGTTACCGAGGGACGGGAAATGCAGTCGACAATGGCAGCGAGTTATATAGAATGACAAAATTGAGAAGTTTGTGGGGATGAAAATGAAATTGGCTTGCACAAGATTAAATTAAATTGGTCATGAAGTAACACTTGGAAATCATTCGGAGAGACCTTCACAGTGCAGTAGACCGAGAATGAGCTGAATGAATGATGAATGGCTGTTTATTTTGTGTGAGGGTATTTAAAGCAGCGTAATACATTTTGAATTATGTTACTTGAACCAGCCTCTGTGTGTTTACTTTCTTCGCCTCCTAGGTGTGGGCAACAAAAAGTGGAAAAACCTTTACTTTGTCCTCAATTCCAAAGAACTGCACTTGTATTTTTTCGACAACCCAAGGGTGAGTTGTTTCCTAATGCTGTTTTGTAAACGTGGAATCAGATGGCAAACTGTGATGGGTAAAATTAATTTTTTGCGACTGTGAAACGAGTGGAGACGAGAGCATACTAGTAATAATTGATGGAGTTTACCTAACGTCCCAGAACTGTGGTATGATTATGAGAGACGCCGTAGCGGGAGGGATCCGGTAATTTTTGCTACCTTGGGTTCTTCAATGCATGAATCCAAGTACACAGGCCTCGAGCATTTTCGCGTCCATCAAAAATGTGGCCAGGGTGCAATCCCACGACCTGTGGGTGAGCATTTGAGCACCATGACCACTGGGCCATCTTGACAGGTCAAGATAACCACTGGGCCATCTTGACGGGTCAAGAGCTGTACTGTCAGTGAAGCAGCTACCTTATTGCCAATACGAACTAAACTATGTGTCGACCTGAATGTTAACATTTGTATTAAAGGCTTGTTATGGAATTGCAGTTATGAAGCTCAAAATTGCATTTTTTGTGTTGGGTTTCAGAATTCATTGTGCACGCTTCATTTCTTGTGTAATCTGCAACTTCCAGAACTTTGAAGAATTATGCCTCTACTCTATCTGCGAGGTTCAAGCAATCATCGTCATCACCCCTTTATCTTTTGTTTTTCAGCGGACAAAGCCAAAGGGTTTAATAGATCTCAGTTATTCCTACCTGTACATGGTTCATGACAGTCTTTTAGAAAGGTATGAACTCACTTTGTCGAGTCCACGTTTTGCGTGCCAGATACATGCATATTCTGTTTTTCTCCTTTTCACTCTCAGTAGTTTGATGTATCTTTGTAGGCATTAGATGCTGCTCTCCTTCTTTTCGTGTGGTGAATGTTCCAAAGCCTTTTCTAATACACCTTGCTTCATAGTTCACAACCAAATGTATTGCTGTGTGGTAATAAATATAATTTGATCATGTTATATAATTATACTGGTAATATGCTTTACAGCACTCGATAATGACCATTGGTTCCAGAATTGTGTGCACCCTTGCTAATTACTATTACAGCTAATGGCTCAATAACACTAAAAGCAAATTGGTACATTCAAGTTTTTTTTTTTTTGTAGCTTTCCTGCTTTGCACATTTCTGTTGATTTTTGACATGGCTTTTTTTGAGAGAGAGCCATGACTGTTGAAAGTATTGGTATGCATACTACCGTTTGTGTAAACTTGTCTCAGGTTTTGTGATACGAGCATCCGAAAAAATTGTGAATTTAAGTTGCCTTTTATGTGATTTAGTTTGTAAATAACCATCAACCTATGCCATTGGCGTGCAAGCAAAGATACACGTACTTCAGTCTTGTCTCTCTTTTTTTCCCCCAGGCCCAATTGCTTTCAGATTGTTGAAAGGGCCCTTCCTTGTATCAGCACCGTGTATTATCTGTGTGCCAGTTCCTCTGATGTGGTTCGGGTAAGTTCAAATTTTGAAAAATAGTAATAGATAAAAAAACGTTTCTTTTTCGGTTCTCTGCATACTTTGCCATAGCAAATGCCTTTCTTTGGGGTCTACAGGACATCCCAATTTTATATCAAGATTCACTGATCTTAGTAGCATTTCATTGATCACTGATATTAGTAGCAAAAAAAAAAAAAGAGGAGAGTCACCTGTGTGGTGGCAAACACTACTGCTAGACATAGCTGGACACTGTCAGGCATGGTGTCCAAGGACTGAAGCCTATGGGCTGGGGCTTGGGGACATATATTGGCAGTCATTTTCATGTTCAGTTGTTATACTGTCTACATTCTTTTATTATTCTCCTCTGGTAACATACATAAAGATGCAGTAGAAGCCCATGGCATTAGGCTTATCAGGATAGAGTACTGAGAGCTTTCGCTGTCTGTTTTTTTGTGCAAGAACCTTATTTCCTCCACCGAAATTCTGCACAGAATCAAAGGTCTGCTAGACAGTCATCCAGCTGAATCAACATAGAAATATCTTCAAATCTTTGCTGAACCCACGCTGCTTAATCACTTAATGTTATAATGTATGTCTGTGGGTTTCAATTAATTCTCACCACACAAAGACTCAGCATTCATGGCCTAAGGAAGCATGTAGAGCGTAAACTTGAAGTGTCACTTGTGGCTGCGCTGAGAACCATTGTTGGGGCTGGTGGCTGCTGTCGCAGTTGCGTTCTGCAACAGCAGCCACCGGAAGGTGACATCTTAACATTTCAACTTCCTTGTAACATTTTAACTTCCTTGAAGCAGCTCTGACGGCTCCATGCTAGAGTTGGCAGCAGTGCGACATCTTTGTTTCAGGAATGGATGAGTGCGGTGGGTCCCCTGTGCGTGCCACAGCTGGCCAAAGGGTCGGTTGGTCGAGGTGCCTCACCCTCCGTCTCCCAAGTGCGCTCGCTCAGCCTCACATTGCTCGAGGCTCACAGGTTGCCTGTCCGCCTTGCCCCACACCCCTTCTGCATCATTTCCCTCAACCAGGTGATCTCTCGCTCCCACTCTCTCTCTTTTTTTGTATATCTCGGTGTAAGAAGCCATTCCACGTATTCTAATCATTGGCTGGCAAAAGATGTAGAGCTAGCTTTGACGTAATGTAATATACTTCCTTGCCCGAGGGGCTCACTTGGACTTGCACTCACCTATGTTTTCCTCAGCCTGACTGACTTTAACTAAGACTCGCTAAAATTTTCCTCCACCAGAATAACTCGGACCTAAACTCGCCAAAATATTAGTACTCACTTGGACTGGCTCAGACTCACGGCCCTATCCGAGTCTTCATGAGTTGACTCACGTGTCCGGTAGCATAAATACAACTTGAAGTATTTTGTTGATGTTTACGTATAACTTTAGTTGGACCCAGTGGCTATGCCAATGTGCATAGCTTAGCTGGATATCTGTGAAAAGCACATTTATGTGAAAAACCTTTCTGATGGTTTAGTATATTATGTAAGGGTAAGTGTGAAAGTAAACAGGACAGGTTACTACCGGGTGTGATTGTTGCTTCTGATGCCTGTAGCTCGAAGGTCTCAGGTGTTTAATAATAGTGCTAGATGCATTATAACTGTGGACTGCCTACTGCACTTTGTGTTTATCTATGTATATTCATTGGGTTTCTATACTTTGTCTGCCTAGCCAACTTTTAATCTTTTTGGTATCTGAAGTTTTGAAAATCTCTCTAGTTAAATGATCTCACCGAATTGAGAGCATTGATTTATGTTTGTTTTTTGCTGGTATTTCTGTGTAAGCGTTTACTCCTTGCCACTTTTTGCATGGCAAAAGATGCTCTTGCAATTGCTTGCGTCACCTCTACTCTCGTCTGCTTTTGACTAGTTCTGCTTAAGTTGCACGTGTCCACACCTGATGTACACTATTTTTCCTCACTTCCTGCTTCCTTGACACTTGGCTGGAAACCTCTTCATAATCAAACCACCCTTCTTTTTTCCCTTACCTATGGCATCTCAGAGCTTCTTGGTCACTTTGGTCACACGACCTGACTGCTTCATCTTGTGGGATGCCGCGTCGATGGGAGGATGCATCCCAACATGAAACATAAGAGCTTTTTATTAGCGTGGTAGCAGCAGTGCAGCGAGCATGCGGACGCTGCACTCGAATGGTTGGAAAACAACTATAATCTTGCGAGCTTGGCAGCTTGGGTTTATAGCCACTGGTGATGGCGTCGGCCTTCAGTGGCGCTGCAGTGGCGCCGTCCCTTATCGGATGCGCGTTGCACCATGCGGCCTAGTCACGCCGGCTGCGCCGATTTGTGTGCTGTGTGTCGCCACAATCTCTCTCGCTCTTTCCTTTCTGCTTTGCATGCCCTGTACAGTGCAAGGATTATTCAATATTTCAAGCGAAGCTCGTATGGACTGGCCTGTAAAAAAAAGCAGTGCATCAGGCACGGCCACGCCAAGCTTCACTTTCTTCCAATCCCCTGATTGTAGGAAGGCTCCTGCATTTTTTTGCACGCTGCTCCATTTTTTTTTTTTTTTTTGCATGAATAGGCTCTCTCATGTTCACACATCTTTCATGTACTGCTTGATGTTAACACTGGTATATTATGCCAGGCTAAATCGTTGATAGCCTTTCTTTCTTATTTTCTTTCCGCTGTCTTTTACTTGCTGTCACTCCTCCATGAAGATCCGCCCATGTTTCCTGTGCAGTCCTATTGGCACATGACGCTATGTTGGTGTTTTGGCTTTAATGTCCGGTGAATTCCTTGTTGGCAATAGGTGAAGGTGTGCCGCACTCAAGTCAAGTGCCCACCTGATCCAATCTGGGAAGAGGACTTTCTGCTCGAGTGAGAATTGTTTGCCTTACTTTTTCTAAGTCTGCAGTTAAGTGTGGTTCTTGCAAAATAATGTGGAGTATTTGCAGCTGAATGGACGTTTTGATTTTTGCAATAGCTCTTGGTGCTAAAGAAGCCCTAACGTAAGTATTTTTAACAAAAGGGCTAAAGTCTTTCATCCTTCGTGGCATGGTAGTTGTGTAATTCTAGAGCGTCTTGGTCTTGGAAACTTTAGCCTTTTCATTTTCTGTTTGCAAATTTTTGATTCCACATATCTGGCACACATGCACAAGTTTTGGGCTTGAGGACGTGCCATGGAAAGATGTTCATACCTGATATGCAAAAACATGGGATAATAAGACAGTGAAGGTTCACCTTGGATTGTGCAGTTGAGAAGTGACCAACCTTAACACTATGAATAAATACTGACTCATGGTCACTGCATTTTATAACTATCTTTTGTAGTCTTGAAAGGAACAAAGTTATGCTTAAGCATAACTTTGTTCCTTATGATGTATGGCAATTCAGGGTAATAATAATAATTTTTAAAAACTGGCCTAAAACTTTGTTAGAGATAGCTACAGTGACATTGAACTGCATTGACTGCTTGAGCCAAATATATTTTTAACTCATACTTTGTCAAGAGGAACTGGTTACTTGTTAGACTTTTTTTTTCTTTATTTGAAAAAGCTTGAAAATTGAATTTTTTTCTTTTCTATATGCCTGGGTTTACTGGAAGATGGCGCTGTATGTGCAAAAAAAAAAAAAGGTGTTTGAGAATGCTCAGTTGACTACTGTTGACAAAGCTGCCTCTTATTACCCTTGCTTTAATTCTGTTATGTTGAAGATTACAAGTAGTGTGTTGCCAAAACATTTTTGCCGTTGCCTTTGCGATAACAAGTTCTAGGTTTGTAGTACTGCTCTCTTAAGAGCTTGTTTCTTGACTGTTGGTTACACATCAATAATAGCAATGAATTTGAGTTGCATAATGACTTTATTATGGACCTTCAATAAAATTGCCATTCCAAAGACATTCAGTTGACCTTTGCCTGAACCTGTGATCTGGTTTTCTTAGGGACCTTCCGTCAGACGTCACATCTTTCACCATTACTCTTTACACTAAAGGGAAAAGGTCAAAAGACATGGAAATGGGTAAGCCATCTGAACTTCCCGTATTTTTGCATTCTTACACTGTCCTTACTAGAGTTTTTTCTGCTTGGCTTGTTGCAGTAGAAAAGCACTGGCAGTGTTTTTGGCACTAGAGTTTTTTCTGCTTGGCTTGTTGCAGTAGAAAAGCACTGGCAGTGTTTTTGGCCCTTCAACAGGTCTAATTTTGTGCTTTTTCCCTTTCAGCGGAAGTCACTGTTGAGTTGGACAGTTTGGTTAACTGCGAAGAAACGGAAGAATGGTTTTCTTTGGGTGGACTGACGCCTCCGATTCGTGAAGACTGGGGGTCCCTGCGTGTGCGAATCCGCTACGTGCATGAGGTCATTATGCCACTGGCTGAGTACACAGCCTTCAAGGAGGTGTGTTGATTGCTGGTCAATGCTGCTTCACTGTGTGAGAGATGGAAAGCCAATGTCCCTGTACATAGCTTAGTCCTTTTTTTTTTCTGTCTTTTCAAGTGACAAGCCTCTGTAACCAGTGCTTCCCGAGCCCCAGTTTGGCTCGAATATATTATGTAGTATACTACAGGTAGAAAATTATGCATATAATATGCAAAGTGCTTACAAATTGAAACACGAAAACTGGGGCTAAGTAATCTACACGTCTTCATTTTTGCCAACTTTAGTCACGTCAGTGTAATTTCAACTCAAACACTTTATTGGGGCCAGCATTGCCGTTACAAGCCATATTTGTAGTAACTTGATGCAGTTACCTGAAGAAATTGCACATAGCAGTCATTATACTAGTAGTAGGTTTGTCACGATTTAGCCAACCTATGAGCCTTCATGTATATGAGCCAACATATGTATCTTCATGTGACTTCGTGTTCTTAATTTATGTAGTTATTATGCTGTAGAAAGTGTCACAGGGAATAAAGACTGGCTATGCAGGGCATGCAGAGAGAGACTTTTACGACTTTACTGCTTGCTGGTGCACCACAGCCTTGTATGCTGTGTACTGAACAGTGTAAAAGTGCACTATGGACTGAGCATTTGACCTGATTATTTTGCGTGCATAATGCAGTGCATGGCAATGTTATATGTGCAAGTTGATGACCCCTGGCTCTTGATTGACTCAGTGTTTTTTCTTGTGTGTTGCGGCAGTTGGTGGTAGATGAGGAGCTCCACCTGGTGAGCGTCCTGGCAGACTTGTGCCACAAGGATCGCACTCCCCTGGCCAGTGCCGTGCTCCGGGTGTTCCGCTACGAGAGAAAGGAGGCGCTCCTGCTCAGGGACATGAACAACCGAGAGATCGACCTCGAGGGTACTTTCCCGTTCCTTTTCCCGGCTTCTCTCTTAATGCGATGGCAATGTTACGGGCACTCTAAGCAAAAGGCGTTGGTGTGGTGGTCTGTACAGGGTTGAAGCGTGATAGCAGCATATCGTGCCTTCAGGCAATATGATGCTGTGCAAGGGAGGAAGATGACAGAACAGCGAGCATAGTCACGTGCCTTCATTTGTGATTAGGGGTGTGGGTTGAATGTTGAGGCAAGTGGCGGCAGAAGGGGAGGTTGCGAGTAGTCGCACTGACGCCCCTGCAGCACGATGTTGTAAAAAAGTGGACTGTGCTTCCTATCTTGCAAGTAAATCTGTTGCGATTTCAAAAGCTGAGTGAATCAAAAGGAGTGCTGATTTCGCGTGTATTTTGACACACCTCACGTTGCCGCTTGCATTATCTAAAAAAGCTTGCTTACTTCCGTTTGTGCTCTTCATCACGCCAGTGTGGTAAAAGTCGGTGTTCGTGCTCATCGAGTGTGACTTGATGCATTTGCGTATGCGCACAGCCTACGCAAGCTGACAGTGATGTGGAAAAGGACCAGGAAGAAGTGCTCGTAATCCTTTGAGCCTATTATGTAGTATTATGACTTTCTCTTTACCTGGAATCATTTTTATGAGTTTTTCACATTCGCCCCAGTTTATGAACGGTACTTTTGTTGCGCTTCCTTGAATACCTCGATTACTTTTGTATAAGAGCAACATAAGAAAGCCTGCCACCATGCTACATTTAACAATCATTCTGAAAACTATTAGGTTTTTAAATTGTAGATGTGTTTACAGAGCTAGCAAGCACAACTTTAAGTGCATATGCTGAAAGTCTGTGTCAGTGTGACAAAAGAGATTTCTATTTGTGTCATATTGAGCCTATTTTTCTAAATTGGTTTATGTTGTGCGTTTGTTGAAATCTGTCGCTTGGTACCATGCAGAGGAGACATCAACGTTGTTTCGCACAACATCATTGACGACGACGCTGATGGACCAATACATGCGCTCGACTGGCCACGAGTTTCTGAAGCACACCGTTTACGACTCCATAATTCGTGTAATGGATGGACGGCAATCTTGTGAGGTAAGCCTGTCAGCTTGCATGCTGAAAGAACAGCACATAGCATGGTAATCATAGTAATGTCAAGCATCATTTTAGCACTGATGCATCTAGTATTTAAATACTGTTGCTGTAAACTTGTGTTTGGGTCAACTCTTTGAGTGTTGAATTTTCTAGCCAAATGCATTCCTCCGGGGCCTATTTTTTACTGCTGATTTAAACCCTTCATTCGTATCTATTTTAAAAAAAGTAACATTTTAGGGTGATCATAAAGTGGCAAAAATATTGTTGGTGTTATTACATACTCATGGTTTATTCACGAGTTACAGCTAGCTACATGCTGAGAAGAAAAAAAAAAGCTTTATATGACTTCAAAAATTATTTATTGCAATAAACACCTGTGTTGTTCACAGATGTATATAAATAAGTGCATGAGCCTGCATTAAGTAAAAACACAGAGGACGGAAAGTCACTTTTGATCGAGTCGGCATGGCCTCGCCTCACTTGCTTTTGAGTTGTCACTTTCTCATAATCATTTCCACTTAAAATTACAAGTAACTCCTCGTGCAACAGGCTGACATCTAACGAATGAGATACTGATCCGGCAGTTGAGCAGTGATTTGGAGGAATCTCCGCTGGACTCACTTGCAACTGAGAAACTGGCACACACTTCCACAGTGCTAGTGAATTGCACGAGTGAGAGCACTGAAGCGAACTGTATGGTTGTGTGCGCATCCAAAAAGCAAAAAACAAATCAAACATAAAATTATACTTCATCTGATCACCAACGATACAGAAGCAGTTTTTGCTAGTCACACGAACCGGATATGCAGCCACAGCAGCATTGTTTGTGTCAGTGAGCGCCTGCACAGAAACTGGCGTAGTCACGCCCTGGGAAGCAACAAATGAGGTAACAAAATGGTCACTGTTTGAGAGATTCTAAACCAGACAGCCATCACCTTTATGGGCTTAAGAAACGAAATCTACCCAAAGGACGTTTTTTAGTAAAGCATTAAAAGAAAACCGAGTGACGTCAGCGCTTGAAAATTTTATGTACATATTCCCACAACATGGCAGCACATGCCAAGCAAGAGAAGTGATTGAAAAAAGCATGCTTTCTTAACATGCACGCATTGACTTTCATGTGCTTCGTTGGCCATCTTGAAGACGTTTGTGGAGGATGCACATCTACGTTATTGACCCTCAAAGGGTTATGAGACATTTTACTAAAATATAATTTTTTATTTCTGTTTAACCCACAGCACCATCAAGTCATGGTTGTGGGGAAATTGTGGTAATGCACATCTGCAGGGATCAATACTCATTTAATGCTACGTAGTGTTTGTTAAACGAGACATTGTTGCCTAAGTCATGCTTGCATTAATGACTGAATAAACTATGAGGTACTAGAAGCAAAACATTTCATTAAAAGGAAATGAGAGGCTTCTTTAATTGGCAGTTATTTTAGAGTGTTGTACTAATTACTTGGTTTACTCTGCTAAAACTACTGTGTAAGACATCAATTTATTTGATTTAACTTAAGCTTGTTACTCAGGAAGTACATTTGAAGTGCAGCTGATAGGCAAAAAAAATGTTGATGCTCAAAGTCAATGGACCATGTTGTACGCGCCAAGACGTAATCTCTTGTGTGCATTTTATTACTTCCAGTTAAATCCCAGTAAACTGGACAGTCCCTCTGAAGCCTGTGCCAATGCTGAGCATTTGCTCTCAGTGTTGGATTCGATTGTTGAGTCTATTTTTTCATCTGTGGAACATTGCTGCCGGTGAGCATTTGTGGCATTCAGTTACATACTTTTCAATCGGGATGTTGTAGGCTGTACGTAGAACTCTAGGTCATGTCAAGGATGCAGAAAAAAAAAACAAGTTGTATTTTGTTCCACTCTCATGTTTGTAACGTTGCAAAGATTAAAAGGAAGGTTAATTACATGGAAAGTTCTTACAGCTTAATTCTTGATAACTTTACCTCATTGCACTCTGCTTGACCAATCACCAACAGTGAAGCTTTTGGCACAGATAGCATTGATTGGGTCAAATTACACACACTCTTGATTTTGTGTTAATTATGTTGAGATAATTGTAAACTGACCCGAAGTCATTGCAACAGTGTCGGAATTCGATACTTGCTTTGGCTATGGCTTATATAACTAGGGGCCTACAAGTCTAGATGCGGAAGTGAACATCATGCACAGAAACACAAATAGCAAATTCAGATTTGGTAGACAGCGGCCGTACATTCAGTAAGCCATGCTTGCAATTCTTCCAGCTGCCTTGCGTAAACATTAGCCTTTGCCTTTATTCCAGCACCCTGAGGTACATTTGCCACTGCCTTCAGAAGAAGGTGTCATCCAAGTGGCCGCATGACCCTATGGTCAAGACCAGAGTAGTCAGGTAAGACTTGCCCGCCGTAGCTTTCGTCACATAGGCTTCCTGTCGCTTCATGTCCTCCTAGCAAATGTTCACTACTAAGTGTTGCTTGCTAGGGGTTCACTATTACTGTTCAAAATTTCAAAATGTGTATAGTACCCATTGAATAGTGGCTGCTAGTGAGATTGAAAGTTCACTATTAGAAATTGTCAACATTAGTATTTGTTTCTTTCAGGCATTGCTTAAAATAAAAGGTAAACAAATAATAAAGCTTCTCATTTGTACAAGTAGCCAAAAGGGATTGGATTACGTGTTGATATCGAATGGATCATCTATATTAGCCACTTTTTTTTTTTTCACCAAATGGTACTTGGCAATGTTCATGTTAATATTTTTTATTGCTTAGAAGGATCAAAATGTTTTGTTTCATTCTATATTTGGAGATTTTTTATATTGTGTTTAAATTAAATTACGGTAGATTTGTAGATAGCACGATTCAGACATCCCTCTCCTGTGAACGAATTATGTTAGGAGTCCTATACATAAGCACACTTGAGTTACCTACCGTACAAAGGTTCCGCTGGAAGGCCTTGTTGTAGTTAACATCTATGATAGAAACTCAGAGTTTCGTATTTCTTACGCCCGTATGACTATAACTGAGGAAAAGCTTGTCAAAGTTTCAAAGCACCAAACACATTTCAAGACATTTTGTGGTTTTGCATTTCAGCGGGTTCATTTTCCTGCGGCTTCTGTGTCCTGCTATATTGAACCCGAGACAGTTCAACCTCATAAGCGGTGAGTACATTTTTTAAAAATTATTTCTGTACATTTCATATGCATGGGAAATAGAGCAGAAAGTACATCTCACAGAGATTTGCAATTGCTAATTACTGCTGATGACATTTGATTGATGACAGGAATGCAAGGGCACAGGGACTTTCCACTCACCGTTGTTATTGAATGTGCGAGTTTTATTGTTTTGTAGACACTCCGTCGGAGACCGCATCACGCAGTCTTATACTGGTGGCAAAATGTCTCCAGAACCTGGCCAACCTTGTTGAGTTTGGGGCCAAGGTGAGGGCGGCAAACTGCAGCGCCTGGACAGTGCCTCTCTCATGTCTTGCTCACTGTCGTCTTTCAAATAGGAGCCCTGGATGGAGGTTGTGAACCCTTTCATTCTCAAGAACAAAAATAGGATGATCCGCTTCCTGGATGAGATTGCTGTGAGTAGCCTAGGTAGCTGGTTTGTAAAGTGTATCTACAATTCTTACATGCAAACGTGTGATGTCTGTGAGAAGCTCCTTTTATTTATGAAATGTCAGAATTACCCATAAAAGCCCTCATCGGGGGTATTGAATCGGGGATTGGTGAATAGAAATGTGATGTACAGTTTTGTGCAAAATTGGCAGCGAGTAGCAATAACTTGAACAATAAGTGATTAGCCATAGGTTTACAAGTAAAGTTGTGAAGGTAATTTTTTAAAAGTCACAGTTTTGCCAAAAGGGCAAAGCAATGAATGCAATACCAACATATTCTAATGTTTTACGAAGCAAGGCTAGCATATTTAGGAGCAATACTAATTGTAGTAAAAATGGGCTTGCTAAGTAACCAAGTTTCCTGCGGTGCAGACATAGCGACAAATCGCATACGAAGTGAGGCTGGCAGTCAACTCATTTAGATCCGATCTCACGTAACTCTACAAAACACTGATGTAAGAGAACACTGCCGGTTCAGGTACAGTATTGGCACTGTTCTTTCGTGTTGAGAGCGCAGCCCTTAGAAGCGCACGCAAAGACGATCCTGACCGGAAAGGAAATGTTCGCTCCGCAGAAAGAGGAGGCTAGTGCATGTTTCTCCACGTGTGTGTGTGTGTGTGTGAGTGTGCGCGCGCGTGCGATGACGGAGGCAAAAACCAGCCCAGACTGTCCATATGATTGCTATTACAATAAAAGAAAAATAAAAGAGCCAGAAAAAAATATAGATATGTCTGACAATGCATGTGTAAAAAAAGAAGTGTCAAATAATGATGTGCTGTTTATTATTAATTCTGGAATGTTGAACAACTCGAGAAAGACAGCATATCAGCAAAAGTTGCCTTCACTCTTGTGAGGGCATTTTAAGGGACCCTATGCCCCCTAAATGTAAAAATTTTGTTGTAGTGTTCTAGTTGTGCACGAGTTTAGAACAAACACATAACCATAAGAATTTTTCGAAATGAGGCCGTAAAAGTGGGGCTGCACATCTTTCATTATGAAAAAATGCCCTTTTTCATTTCGCTTCGCTCGTCAGCTCATCTCTCCTCCCGGCTCATTGTTTCTCCTCACCGTGAAAGGAGGAAGAGTCGCAAGTGCACGTACCTAGAAGCGAACAAAAAGGTGTCGTAGATGACGAATAGACATGTTTATGTCACGGTGAACGTTGAAGGGCTGAATGCTGTTGAAAGGCCTGGAGAGGAGAGAGGATTGCCTCTTGGAACTTGTGTGTGCTTGCGGCTCGCCGCGCTTACGCATTTAGCGTTGTTCGTCGTCATGGAATTTTGAAATTTATGCGTGTGTTTACTTGAAATGTTGAAAAGTATTGGAGGTAGTTTACGGGCTCTTTTAAAGCATACTGTATAAAATGTCCATGACGAGGTAGGTGCATGCTCATGGAAAAGACTTTCAACAGCTGAAAAAGCTGCAGAATATACATCTTACAAAAAGTGTTCTTGATTCTTGTCCATCATGTTTGAAAAAATTCCTGATGCTGTAGTTATTGGTCATCCCTAGAGTACTGAATGAGGGGTAGGCTCACCAGAAAGCATCTGAACATTAATAAAACAATTTTAATGAAACAGTTTAAGAGAATCCTGCTGCCTTGCAAACATCATCTCCAACAGCACTTTTGAGCTGTTTAACCCTTTGAGGATCGAAATTTTTTGCCTAAATTTAGCCCCCAAGTCTATTTTTTATTGCTGATTCAAGTTCTTCGGACTAGTCTATCTCAGGAAAAAATTGTCATAACATTTTTGGGTGACCACAAAGTAACAAAAAATTGTTTGTGTTGTTGCATACATTGTTAAAAAAACCTTAGAAAATGCTCATATGACTTTAAAAGTGATTTGTTGCAATGAACAGTTCAGTCCTACAAAAATAAGTGCCTGAAGGGCTATCAAATTCGAACACTGAGGGAAAAAAGTCTCGTCTGATCTAGTCAGCATCGTCTCGCCGTGCTAAATTTTGAGATGTTGCTCGAACATTAACATCTGAGTCTCAACACGAAAGAAACTTCTCAAATGATAGGCTGACATGCAGTGAATCGGATTCTAATTTGGCAGTCGAGCAGTGATTCGGGGAAACTGCTGCTCCACTAACTTGCTGCAGAGCAGTTAGTACCCACTTTCATTGCGTATGTCAGCTGTGTGTCCGAGTGCACTGAAGTAAATTGTAGGGTTGTGTGTGCACCGAAAAGGCAAAAACAAGTGAGAAATATATAGTAATCCTTCGTCTTATCACCAATGAGGTGGAAGTAGTGTTTGCAAGTCCCCAACACAGCAAACACAACTGCAGCAGCATCGCTTGTGTAAGTCGGCGCCTGCAAAGAAACAGTAATCATGCCAGTGGGAGCAATAAGCGAGAAAGTTACAAAGTGGTCTTCCTTTGAGACATTCTTAACTAGTTTTGCGAGTGCAAGATGGGGGAACCACCCCAAGGATGAAACCGACACTATTTGTCGCGCGCTATCTGGTGCACAAACGATGGCTGGCAGATTGCTGTACTAAAGCATTGAAAGGTTCATGTGACAGGTTCCACCTTTGTAAGCTTATTCAACACTCTTCCAGAATGTTCCTGAAAAACCAGAGCCTGATGACACATTTGTCGGCGACCCTGCTCGTGACTTGGCAACGCTGCACCACATATGTGTCATGCACAAGGACGACTTGCTTGCACAGAGCACTGAAAAGGTAACATCTGAGCTTCTGATCCGGAGAACCGTAAAATAAGTGATGCCATTCGGTTTTTCAAGTCGACATGCATGCCACTTGGGAAGTCTTTTTGAAGCGCTGTGAGTAGAGTGTACTGGAATGGGGTAGTTGGTCCACATAAGGCTCCGTAATGAGGCGTTTTCTTTTTTCTGAAAATCCAGGTGGTGCTGCCGTTGCCTTCACTTGAAGGTTACCATGGTTACCGTTGATGTTGCCATGGTTATGGCCACGTGCAGTGGTCGGCGAGGGCAACTTCGCCATCGTGCATCAGTCGTGTCTCATGCGTTTCCTGCACCCTTGCAGCTGCTTTCGTGCAAAGCTGTGGACGGCGACGTATTACGTCTCGCGAGTAATTCAGCTAACAGGGAGGCGCTATGTTACTTCATCAAATACCCTAATTAATAGCAGCAAGGCTAATAGCAGCAGGGCTAGCTTCACTGTGTTTTATTCTTTTTTTCGCACTAACAAGATTGAAAGTAGCTAGCAAACAAATAGCAAAAACCATGCAAGTGGCCGCGCGTCGGGCAGACGACAGCTCAGCACTCTCAAAGTCACCACGAGCGCTGCCGGCCGTTGCTCCACCAACCCAACAGCTCGGATGAGCCGGAGCTTCAGGGAAAGGCAGCTGCAGCGCCACCACAAATTTTCCGCACTTTTTGCTTCACCAGCACCGCCTGCCGCCCGTTCCAGTGGACCCACTCCCCCATTCTAGTACACTCTAGTTGTGAGCTTTAGCATTTGTTTGTTTTTGCACCTTTAATTATAATATGGGTGTTGACATCAATTTTCGAAAGTGAGTTTACTCTGCCATACAAATCTCCTGAATACAGGGATGGCTTTCAGCTAGTGTGAAGCTCAGCAAATGCTAATAAGATATTTTATAATCACATAAAAGTCGATTTTGTTGCGGTGCACCTATTGGTGTCAACACTACCATGACTTCATGCACTGGTATGGCTAGTTGGGATGATATAATGTGGCAAAACATTCATAAAGGTTGATTGCGCATCGCCAACTGAGCACAGAGTGGGGCGGCCATGGAAATGTCACGCTATCTTGCATGCGCACATGACGAGAAGCTAATGCCATGCTGTGACATCAGGGTACAGCAGGAACCGAAGTTAGCTTTTAAAAACATACTGTAATTTTTTAAGGTGCACTGACTCTTACCAGTACTTTTATAACCTCTGAAAAGATTGTCCTTTCCTTTTATGCAAAAAAAAAGAGAAACAAAATGTCTCAGTACCTCTTTAACCCTTTAATGTCTGAATTAGGAAACTGCCACGCAAAACAAAAGTTGTCTTTATTTTCGAGCTTTAAATACCAACCCTTAAATTACTATCTAAAATGCAGCTTTAATGCATACTTTTATATACGTCATGAATTCTTCATATGGCACAGAAGCGAGGACCTTGCAGCAAAAAACGTACTTCAAGATTTCGTAACGTATCGTGTTTCACCCCTTGGGTGCGTAGACGCCAAATAAATAAAGTTATTGAAGATAGAACTTACGTTAACCAAGCGAGAAAAAATGAAGAAGTGAGAGCTGTTGCGTGTGCCTTGCACTATCCGTCATCGACTACAAAACAATCGGTTCTAGCATAAAGTACCTTAGATGAGACGGTGCTAAATTTTTTATGCTGAAAGCTACGTTCCCCATGAATACTTAACAGCCGGCATTAAAGGCGGCAGATGCTTTGTGGCTTGCTTGCTCTCATTTTTTCTGTATGTCGCGAATTCGCGACACTCAGCAGTAAATGGTTTTATGGAAGCTCTTTGTTCCTTGGTATTATAATTCTCCTTAAAACCCATGTGCATGTCGAGTTCAAATGGTAAGCATAAGTTCTGCTGCTCAGTATTTACCAGAAATACAAAACAAAATACAATGAAAATTTTCTGCAGCCCCTAGGACTATGTGTTGCATCTACCCTGGTGCTTCTTCAATTGTCCTTTGAGATGGATCAGGGGGCTTGCTATGTATTGTAAGCAAGTACTTACCATATATCTTTGTGTACTTTGATTCTTTGAGCCCTTTGAGCTCCCCCCCCCCTCCCCCTTTTTTTTAACTAATCCACTTTCTATGTTCCTGTTTTTTTTTTTTAACTAACCCACTTTCTATGTTCTTGTGGTGTCGTTTTGGCTGGAAAAATTTCGGTAAGGTGATGGTGTTTCGCAAAGTGATCTTGGATTGCTAGAGCAATAGCAAAATTACCGGTGGGCAGGGACTGTACCAAAATATTTTACAACTTTTGTGCTTGGGGAAGGGCACAAGCATTGCGACACCATGAGAAAGGCAGATTGGTTCGAAGTGTAATATTATTTGCAAGGCTTGCATTTGCTCACCTCTTATTTCACTATAGAAGGGAAGTAGACTCGTGAAAACTGTAAATTTGACTTTTCTTTTTTTGTTTTTTCATGCAGCCCATACTGAAGAAAGTAATCACAGTCACCGACATGCTGTCCAAGCATCGGCAGCACTATATGGACAACGCAAGGTAGCCACAGTTCAGTAACATCTGTGGAACCTGAACTACTGCCAAGATTTTTCTTGTGCAAGAAACTTGCAGAACATTGAGGCACAATCCACGATCTTGGTGTTCTGTGGCCCCGCCAGCTTACTCGACCTGCAGAAAAGCAGCGAGGCTCCTCCGGGATCTTCTCTCGACTTTAGCGAGTGACCCATTTCTGTTAGCGCTTCACATTTCCTACGCCTCTGATCCCATTTACCTCTTGGTAATTTTTAAAAAATTCTTTGATGCAGTCACTTGACCCGCTAGTCTCCAAAATAGGCCACATTGAGGGAACCTTGCTTCAGTATTTTAAGTTCGTAACACACATTTAGTCTTTCCAAGGCAGTTTGTGAGACGTCAAATGATGCAGAGTTGATAAGTGTGCTTCTTGAATCGTATGCATCTTTGTGTAGCTTCCACAACTTGGTAACATGTGGCGAGTTATTCTAAAAAGAAAAATACTGATAGCCAAAAGCAAAGGTGAATTTCACTGGTTGATCCAGAGCACATTCCGGTCTCTGTCGGAAATTTCCATTTGCACTGGTTGATTCAAGATCAAATTCTTGTTCTCCAGTAGTTGTCAGTAGTTGTGTTCAATTAATGCACGCTACTGGTGGCCATTTTTTTCTTGCCCTATCCTTTTTATGGCCATACGGAACACATCACACCTTTCTGAGGGTGGTGCCTCTCAACTTTTGCAGTGCAGGGCATGTCTATACATCTTTAATCACTCGAGCTTTAATTTGTAAAACGTTAGGTTCGAGTGCGTACACGATGGTTGCTGCTTTAGAACGGCCAGTGGAATTTGCTGCAATTTGTAGCAGTAGACAAATTACCAAAGTGCCAATGTACCTGAGCCTCGCCTTTGTGCTATCGTTGGTTTCAGCTTTCCTTATTTCTCTGTACGAAGCATATTTGTTATTAGGCTTTGTTACTTTTTGTTCTTAGCAATTCATCGTGTAATGTTCGCTGTGATAAGCCTTGCGCTAGCCAGAATGTTGCTTCATTAGCGAGTGTGTTTCTTGCTAGAAGTAATAAACCTGCTCTTCCCAGGAAAAAAAAAAAGAGGCTACCACATTATCAAAAAATTCAGTGGTCTTTTACAACTAATGTTGACTTTTTTTTTTCTTTGTTCAGCTTACATGTGAAAAAAAAGTTGGTGTTATCACTTGAACTAAGAGGGCCAGCTTTTGTGGGCCTTGTACTTTGCTCAAGATGGGGCCCAGTGCAATTTTTTTAGCTTCTGTGAAAAAAGAAAAAAATAATTAGCAGGGCTCAAAGAGTTCTAGATTTTGTACATGCTAGCCAAACACTCATACAAAAATATGTAGTGTGTATGCTCCACATTTTTATCACATTAGACGCGCAAGACCGTATTCCTTCGGGGCACTTCAGTGTTGTTACTGCTTTTGCATACTTTCATCAAAATGGTCAACATGTTTCTTCAAATTTAGTGCTTAACTCGCGACTCATTCTTTTTCCCAATCGTGCTCAAGTGCTAGCTTTAATTTTTTGGCCCGAGTCTTTCCAAGTTGAAATGTGGCTTGGTGCTCTACTAAGCCTCGTATTTAGCAGTATTTAGCGGAGATTCCTGTGCCTAACATTTACCTGTCTGTGTTGTCGTTAGCGTATGGATGTACTGCTTTCCCATACTTGCCTCTACTGTGACGCTGTTGCATACCAAAATGCAGATGCATAGACATTGTGTGGCAGAGTACCATGCTTAAGAATTGATGGTGCTTGTAATGCTTGTAAATAAACTGCACTCATATGCACATACTGGACTGATATGACCTGTTGACCCCTCCTTATGAATGTGTGTCTCTATCAGCATGTCCATGCCTAGAAATGTACCGTCTGCCACAGGAAACTTCAGAAGAAAAAACTTGTTAGTTTAAAAAAGAAAGGGCACATAGTATATAACGATAGTAATGGGTGCTTAGCTTGTCATGGCATTTCATTACTGGTCACAAAGCTGTGAGCTCGATCTCCATATATGTTCAGCCACAATTTGATGAGTGAGAAAAAAAATAAAGCTGAGTGCTCATGCATTCATTATTAGTACCTCATAATGTGCTTGAAAATCAAAGCTGGTCTAAAGCACCTGCGTAATAAATAAACGAATCCCTGGGAGCTGACATGTCTTAAAAAGTTTCATGCAACATTTTCCCAAGTAATTATTGATTAGCTTCATTAAAGGAGTCTGTCGTCTCGTGAATCAATTTTTTTTATTTTTCTCGTATGAGCAAAGTTATAGGGGGGTGTCGAATGCTTGAAGTGTTTTCCCTCTCCTTCGTACCAGGGGATGCACTGAAAACTACGTGAAGGGGATGACAAGAGCCGTTCTGCACTATAATGTTAGGCTCACATGATTTCAGTTGCTTCTGCGGAGCTTCCTGACTAAGCTAAAAAAATGTTGCAGGGCCCCGTTGCATAATTCTTCTTCCTTAATTGCCAGTAATTGCTTCTTTTTCCCTTAGGATTGCTATGACCACTTATCTTAGTATGTGGTCACGAATCTTGCTTTATTTCTTTTGTGCGCATGTGTTTGTGTGAGATGCCTCAAGGCAGTTGTGTTTTGTAAAAAGGAAATTCTCAACTCAAGTCCTTTAGTGATTTGAGATTTCGAAAGCAGTTTAGAGATAACATGAGGCTTTTTTGTTTTCAGTTGAGCTTCGTTAAGGGCACATGTGGCTTTGTCTTCTAATGTGCCAACAAAAATGTAAAACCTTTTCTGCAAAAGCCCACATCTGTGGTTGAGTTTAAGCTGGACAAGAATAGTAAAGGCCGAAGACACTGACATTTGCACACCTTTCAGTTTGTTACTTTGGAGAACAAACCTTTCTACAGCGAAAGCTGTTGATCACAACTAGGATCGTGTGTAGTGTTGTAGTTGTCTGCCATCCCCGCAGGTGTTTGTAAACACTACCAAATAAGATAAAAAAAAAACTTGGATAATAAAAGTACCAATGACACAGGGGCATATGAACCCGGTTTTCCTGCATGCTAGCCCAGTATTCTATCTCAGAATACCGTTCGCCGGTGCTTGAAACTTCGTAGCAAACTTGTCTTAGGCAGGCTTGATGTTGGGAAAGGAATCTATTTGAGTACGAGTAATAAAGCGTTTCAAAACAGCAAAGAAACAGCCAGGCATCACACAATGTGAATTGCGTAACGAGTGGGTCGTCCAATGCTCCAACCCATTACAAAAGCTTGTTCTTGATCACCTATTAACTATGTGCATGCCCACTTCAGGCATCATTCCTCATCGTCGTCAGCCACTGCATAAAAAATTTGCACAAAATTTCTCGCAAGTGTGTAACGGAAGTGTGTAACGTAGTGAATGCCAGCCTACTACACAAAAATTATAATTATGGTGTAGTGGGTACCTAGCAAATGTGCTTGCAGCGGTTGCCTAAAGTGTTTAGAAAAGGCTCTGAAAGGCGGCTCTTCCAGCTTTGCTGTGACTGAGCTGCACGTTTTGCAGAGGCATGGCGTTGTTTTGTTTTTCCCCGTCCGATGATTAGCTACTCTAGTGTGCTACCGCCATGTCATTTTGAATGGCTGCCGTGACAAACGGCAACATCATGAAGCCTTTCTTGCATTTTAGATTAGTAATTAGTGTGCAAGCTTCCCAATTACATTGAATGTGTGCGAATATTTAATGATCGTGCCTGAAGGCTCTGAACATGCAGTTTCCATTGTTGTTTGAGTACACATCGCATGGACAAGCTTTTTTTCTGTTGGGCATCGCCTACAGTAGCGGCTGCTAGAGCGTCCCTCGTGGAAACTTTGATGGTTAAAATTTTTCGGGACCATTTAACAAAGTTGTTGACTGACAGGCTGACTTTCAGCAGCTCCATTCATGTTCAAAAATTACAGTTCCCATATTATAGCATATGGGGGCATCTTCTAGGCTATATATATGGCAATATTTGTAATTTGACATATGTTGCACCTTATCCCATTTACTGCTGCAAGGCAGTCCAGTAGTTGTAGTTAGCCGAATTTAAAGGAAACTATGGTAAAAAAAATGTACTTTTATAATGACCAACGTGCTTACGTTCAATGTAGACCAGTGGGAAAATTGGAATAAGAGGACTCTTTAATAGAAATATGTGCAGGACAGGTCAATGCGGCACCAGCACCACCGCTGTTCATGTGCCAAATTGACCGGTTGCAAGTATTGAAACACAAGAAACCCAATTACAAATAGATTCAACTTTAATCATTTTTTTGTACACCACAAGAATGCAGAGCCACAGCCACACAAGAAATCTTCAGAAATGAATGGACAAGCAATATATATTTCAGAAGCCAAAGCCAAACAAGGGATGTTTATATCACTGCTCAGTTATGTGCGTGTATGACACCATTCATATCAAAAACACAATCAAGTGATCTTGCACTATCATAACAAGAACGCAAATGTGGAAGTGGAAAATGCTAAATCAAAAAGCTGGGAGGAGAGCAGAGCAGCAAGTCAAGCAAAGCTTAAATCACTTATCCTTCCCAACAAAGAGAGGGGAAGGGGGGAAAGACAGTTGCGCCAACATTTGACTACTTACTCGACGGATATATAGCTAGGCACTTTTCTTGTAAGCAGTGTGAAAGCACTGGACACTGTAAGGATATCTGCTGAAGATGATCAATAGCAGTGATGTGTGCAAAGTTACATATTTAATGGGTAGTATGCAGCTTGCTAACAGAGTGCACTCTGGTGTGAAGCATGGCAGTGGTCACTGGCACTGTAGGTTTAGCTTTCTTCAAAGAAATGCTACCCAACGTAAACAAACAACAGATAACACAAATATCGTCACAAGCACCTACGACATACATCTGAAAAAGAGACGTCCCAACAACTGGTTAACACAAAAAGGAGTTTGATTTACGGAAGTTGCACCTGTTTTTCTGAAGTGCAACATATGTACTTGGCAACTACGCAGACTTTCAAGGAGCGGCATTTCCATACGTTGGATCTTCCAACAAAATTCGAAGCACAGCTTTTTTTTTTTTTTTTTCATTTCCGTTAAAACTGACACTCTACAAGCTCAATATTTGAATTAGGTTGATTAAACAACCAGCCTTGCAATACACAGAATGCAGAAGCTGCAGCAACTAGGAACAGTAGACATGTCAATGCATAACAAATGGCCATGCCATTACGAGAAAAAATGGCAATCTTGATATTATGCAAGCAGCGACCCTACTGGTCAAGGCAAACTCGGCACCTACAAGCATTCAGCGTGGACGCGTTCTCAGCTATGCTAACTGGAAGAAAGATAACGCCACGAAGCAACAATTTATAAGCTCTGTCCGGTAACTTCAGTATTGGCAAGAGAGAACTCCTAACCAGTGATTAGTCTAAGCATACAATTAGCATCTGGCAAATATGAATTCTTTCTATGCGATACCGTAATTTAACAAGATGCCATTTCTTGTTATATCCCAGTACCTTTTTTAACCATTGCAGAGGAGTTGATGTTCAGATCACACCTGAGTGAATGTAAAGCACCCTGCTGTGCCATAAGCACAACACATAAATGCCTTGGAACTTTCATGCTATTTAAAGTATGAAAACACAAGGACCGACTGTGGTGCATCAGAAGAAGGTGACAACAACACTGCCATGTTCACGTGCAAAAATGAAAAATACTACTGTCATTATACGAGCCTAAGGTGCCAATGTCTCTGCTAACCTTTATGACTTAGTGACTTTATTCGAACTGCATGACGTGAATAAAGTGACGAAGATCAAGCAGTGTTCAAGGTGACCTCATACTGAATGGAAATGGCGACAAAAAAAAAAGTGAATGTGAGAACTGCACTGCAGTTTACGTATTCATAAACGAAAATGTAAGCGACACAGCAGACTGTTATGCTACACACAGTAGAGCCGTACACAACCTGAATGCTACTGTCTAATGGTGTCGCTTATGTCAAGTAATTAAAGTGGTACAATTAATAAGATAAAGAAATACAATAAAGCTGCACAATCTTTCCATGAGTGCATTCCCAATAATGACGATTACATACTCTTCACCGTGTAGCCAAGTGCGAGTTTTCAACAATATGAATGTGACCAGCAGTGACATGGTTATGGGTTGTCTGTGCATTCTTATATCCAGATATGTGCAAAATTGAAATCCTAGTTTAGGGGGTACCGTAGGGTAAATCGGCAAAACCTTTACTATTAAAAAATAATAAGCCCCCCAAGGAGCAAAATCATGCAGTGGCAAGCACGTAGGAACGGTTGAAGCCATTTAGAAATGGTGCTTGAAACTGCATGTCCTGTTGAATGTGATGGCTTGTTCACATTTATGTATTCTCAATATAGCTGGATCCTAGAGTCACATTAATTTCCTGCCATCTGCATAAGCTTTCATTGCAAATTTTCCCATGAAAGACACTTTCGTAGGGTAGTCAACGGTTAATGTTAGCATCTTATGCGCAGTCTTAAGCATAAAAGTGCATTTCTTTCACCATCAGTTTTTCTTAAAAAAATTTTTTTAATTTATTACCTTTTCTGGAAAACTATTTGATTTATTACACCAAAGTTCCCTCAAATCACGCTTCTATCTTTCAAACGGTCTCAAACTAAAAAGGGCAAGAATTGCACAAATTGAAAGCTGAAAGTTTTGTTATTCAACACTCAAAATTTTACAAAATATGAAACATTTTCGGGGATATAAAGCTGGAAATAAAATGACTCATTCGTCCTACCAGACCCCCTTAAAATGAACAAGACGACAGAAGTGCACATTCATTCTCACTCTTCTACTTTCCACCAACACTCTAGTTGATGATGCTCCCCCGAATAGCAATAAAACCTGTTAAAGTACATTGACAAACTACAGTTGCCAATTAGCTCCATGCAATGAATCAGCAAGTCAGTCAATGGCATCAAATCAGTTTAACCAAGAATTCTTACTCATGACGAACTTGTTATCACTTACTGAACTTTAGAAAAATTAACACAGAGTGAATGTACCATGTTCAGAGGATCTTTGGGAGCAAGAACCAAATACCAATAAAGGCAAGTTCACTAAAATTCTGAGGGAACTTTGAGTTAGAAGTCCGAATGAGGTGTGTGGGTTGTCAACAATGTGCAAGGCAAGCCAATAGTTTCGTCGGAAAATTTTCTTTAATTGGGCTTAGATGAAGAGAATTGACATTTGTAATATACATTTTCATATGTCTGAGAGAGTGTTAGTGACTAAGGACAATTACCCCAAAATCATCGCCTGAATTTGGGCTACCTTGCACCAGGAAAGGTGTGGCGACTGCTTTCTACTGACAGGAGCCGAGGCTTCAGGAAAATGCCTTTGTTTACTCCCAAGTCCAATAACAGAGCTCAGCAATGAACTCCAAAAAGCAACAGGTGAAAATCTGCTTGTCTTAAGTGGCCACCCTGAAGGAGTTCACATAAACAAAGATAACTAAAATGACACCACACAGTGTCAAGAGGACAAAGTGTAACAAACTTTCAAACAGCTCAAGTCTTTCACAGAGGAAACACGACACAACTCTAGCACATCGGTGCCAGAGTTGATGAACACAAAGGGAAAAAAACAACACGCTTCAATAATGCTCTAATATAGGTTCTCATTTGTTCTACGAATAGAATATAATCATTGAATATGCAAAATGTAAAACAGAAAGAATATATTTTATATGTACTTTTTTTTGGTAGCACACAAAAAAGAAGGTGACAGAGGATAATGCGAAAAATGCGTAGCACAACAAATAGGAATTATTAATAAGTGGCTTAATTGCATGATTCGAATACAACAAATAGTACACACAACTGAAGGATGCTCGGTGAGAAAGAAAAACACGATTGTCTAATTGCAAATTTCCAAATAGAGGCACAGAACCAATGCAGCTAGGGCATTGGCATCTCAAATTTTTGCTCTATGTTAATTCTACTCAAATTGAATCGACACCATTAAAACTGGTTTAAAGTTAATAAAAGACATGTTGAAAGAAATAAGAAGAACATGAATATGAAATGGGGCAGAGCATTTTTGCTACCTGTGATTGCACACAGACGGGCAGTACTGCAGAGTAGCAGAAAGCAACAGCAGTGATGAATATCGATGGCACACGCTCGTTTATCTGGTGCGGTGGTTAGTGACGGCACTCTCTCGATAATTCAGCTCACATAATGGTGCACCGATTTGGATCATTTGGGTCCATCTGTAACAACAACAAGAAAATCAACATAATTACACCATTAACGAGTGGCCATGGAGTAATCAATATTACATTTACCGAATTGTCATAATTACCAAGTGCAGGCTGTCTGAACATAAAACTTTCACAAAATTGTGTTCCAAATTGTCTCCCACAAGTGTAGGCATTTTGCACGGCAACGATGCTGAAATCATATTCTGCATATTCCATATGTATTTGACGCAAGTTCTGTGAAATGCCTCAGTAGGAGTGAAGAAGTAATAATAGTAATAATATAACATACTGGCTCGCATAATGAACCCCCCCCCCCCCCTTTTTTTGTTCAGAGAAGTTGACGCCAATTTGGGGGGAGGGTTCATTACACGGGAGAAAAACCCACGGGAGTTATAACAACGAAAATTACACATGACGGCTGAGCTTGTTTTAGTCAGTGCAGTGCACAATTTTTTTTTTTTTTTGTAGCTTGAAACTCTTTGTTTCCTCCCACAACGAAAGCGCACGGATCGACACCCCAAGTGTTGTCCAGCCGCTCAGTTCCAATGCTTCAGCGCATGCTGTTTGTAACCAGCTGTGCAGCAGGCGTACCAGCCGAACGAGCCCTGCGCAGCAGGTGTCCCAACTAAGTTCACAACGACAAACCTGACAACAAAACTGCAGCCTTGGGTGGCTGCACACAAACGTTGCGGAAGACGTGGGTGCGTGACGCTCCGTCCGTCGGCGTGGGGGTTGCGCTTTGCATTGCTCCGAGATGGCAGGCGCGCAGCGTGTTTCTACGCCCATCATTTCGGAGGTCTCGCGCTTTGTATTTTGCCGTTTTTATGCCGTTGTGCTTGCTTAGCGCTATCAGCAAAGAGGTTTCTCTTGCATTCGACAGATGGCACTTTACTGCAAAAGACGTGATTTGCAAATTTTGATTGACGTCGTACACGCTCACGTTGCTCGCAAATGTTTAGCATGGTTGCGAAAATATGCTTTGACTTTTATTGCATTGTTATATCATTATATAATGACTTGATATAACGTTGTTATATCATCAACAGCACTGTCTATCATACCAAAATGAAATGAACAAATACATTTTTTAAAAGACCATGCTGAGGTCTTTTAATTATGCGAGTGGGTTCATTATGTGAGTGAATACAATATAGGTCGTTTCTTTTCCCCCAGAAAATGGCCATAGAAAGTCAAAATAAGTCTTATACCGGTCATTGGCAGAAAAACTTTGGAAGTCTGACCACTATGGGTAACTGAAGTGAACCACCTACATCGCCATCATCGGTGTTGCTTTGTTTACTGCCAGCCTAGTGCCGTAGTGCCAGCCTTACTTTTCTCTTAAATCTGTGCAGGCTCGAAGATGCTTTTATTCTTGCTCTCGACCAATGGCCAACAATAGTTGATCACTATAGCGTTCAAGAAAACGGTGATCCAGTTCGCGAAGGCTGGAAGAAATCTGCTCTGAGGTGCATGAAAGATGAGTTGGGATGGTAGCGCACCCACTTGAACGTGAGCCCAAAGTCGCAAACAACAGCTGCAAGTTTATCTTTGCACCGGTTTTGTCAATGCTCCAATCTCGCAAGATACCCTTTCTTTGTTGCTTCCTGCGATGCTGGCAGCTACGATTACAGCAGCACATATGACTATGATCAGCGGGCAGATCGAGTGCACCACAGAAGCATTTGCTACTGGTGGACACTGAAGGTTCACATCACGACACGCAGAAATCAAAACTGTTTTGGTGACAAATTCCAGTGTATCTAGCGCTGGTACAGAATTTATCGTGGACTTGTGATCGTGTCGTGGTTACTACTGAGAACCGCAGATCGCAACCACATTAAAGCCGTCAGACGGTTGTGACATTATACTAAGATAATGCTTGAGCCCATCTTCGTATAGTCTACGTATATTCTGTTTTTATAATATAAGCCAGCCACCTAGACCAAAGTCTTACACTGTCGTGAAAGATGTGGTCGCTGCGAAAGCCAGAGGCACCGCCAATGCCCGAGCTGCGTTCAGAGAGCCGGCTGAACTGTCGACGATGACTCTCCCTCGTTGCAACTTCCTCGCCTTCCGAACTGAGGAGTGCTGTGCGCTTCTGCTCTCCCTTGGGCCACTTGGTGGTGCGCATAACCAGGTCACTGGGGGGGTTGTGAGTGACTCCACAATCAGGGCTCCAAATCTAGAATGAAGTGCATCAACAGGAGCACATGAAATATCTTTAATACTCTTTCATGCACAATGAGGCTATCCTCTGTACCTCGTAGCATACGCAAAAAAAAAAAAAAAAAGAAAGTACAAGCAAACCTAGCAAAAGTATGAAGTAGTTAATGCTAACAGAGCTCCTACAGTAGAAATGAAAAGTCGGCCAACTGTACAAACTTGCACTACAAGGACTATAGAATCGCATGCAAGCACTGGCAGAAACACCCCTTTCATAACTGAGTAAGCCACCATGACTGATTACTAATGAAAAAAAGAAGTCGTATAGAAGTCAAGTTTAGAGGTACTTACAGTGATTGAGGCTCCTGGTTTGATTACATGGGTGCGGTGGAACTTGAATGTGAACTCATCATTGCCCGATTTGCTGTGAACCTGCCAACCGGCCAAGGGCACCTCCTGCAACAGACAGATATGGAAAAAAAAAAGGTGGGGGGGAAATAAGAAAAAATAGCAAGGAAGTCACAGTATCATGTCTAATGCAGTGCCGTCATACTGCACTACCACAAAGGGCTGCAGGATAATCCCACATTAACCTGTCGTCAGACTGTTTCTTCCAGTGATTTGGGTAAGAAGTGCACATAACATTTCTTTTTGAAAAATGCAATTCTATGCCTCATTAGTTAACAGTTAACAAACCAGGCTTCAAATTGGGCAGGTTGAAACAAGTAATCCATTATGGTACTAAGCGTGGACACGAGGCACAAAACAAGTGAGAGATCCGCGCCAAGTCTGTTCCCTCGCCTGTCCTGTGTCTTGTTTTTGCACTTAGTACTGTAGCAGATCATTCAAAGTTACTTCCCAAATCAAACACCATGCTTCATAAGTTTATTCGTTGTGATTTACACATTTTTGACCGATCTTACCATTTTGTCCAGCATTTTATGCCGCCATGAAATTCTCAATAGGAAGAAGCCCAGTTAACAAAACAAGTATTTTCTTGTATTACATTTTATGTTACATTTAAAATTTTACTATACTTAGAGCATACAGTAGACTCTCAGTAAGCAAAATCCGAAGGGACCAGGAGAATATGTCCCATTTAATAGGAGTTCCGTTTACTGAGAGGTGAACATAGGTGCCAAATGCAAGCCCGAAACCAAGCGTAGCAAAGGCAATAGTTCCGCTTAAGCAGTAGTTACGGTGAACAGATTTCCGTTTACTGGGAGTCTACTGTATAAGCTGGTGTAGCAAGCTTTTAAACTTAAAAGTTCATGAATTGATGTGAGGATAATATGTTCATTTAACTTTGAAGTGGGGCTTCGTGGCAGAGGGGATTTCCGCTGGATAGGTATATTCACAGTATATCACACCTCAACTGCAGTGAAATAGGGTGGTTATGATGTGGATTAATATACACTTATTTTATCATTTCCAATATTTAAAATTTTTTTATGTTTTAAATTAAATTGACGCGAATTCAGATGCTGTGACATTTGCTTGAATATTCGAAGAGCCCCTATATTTGCACAAGCCTAGCTTACATTTCAACACACTGCATAACAAGTTTCTCCTGTTTGTATGTTTGAAGTAATACAGTTTATAACACTGCAAAATATACATTTCACTATTCAGTCACACTAGTAAGCTTGACCATGCTTGGTGCACAATTGCTAATCTTACCTCTCAGCTTTGCTTTTAATTGCACTGAAATTTCAATAGATGAGTTAGCAGTTTCACCTAGACAATAAAGACAGCAGCATAAAATTGTCCTAATGAAAGAGATGGCACATATACTCCAACATTTACAATACAAGCCAGAATCCAAACGTGACAGTCATGTATTATCATGACTTTGCCTCATACTAGTTCAACAAATACACTAAATTTAGCATAGCCAGCAAAAGTAAATGCTGGTGTTTGTAGAAAATGTCGACTACGGAGTGCAAAGGAGCCACTGACCTTTGTTCCTTTGTTGTGGATGGTGACGTATCTTCCGTCAATGCAGTGATCGGAAATCTCAAGCTCTCCCTTAGCAGATGCAGTGACCTGGGCATCGGAGTTGCTCTGTTCCTCACGGTGGGACATGAAAGTGCGCTTCCGCTTGGTGCCACGGTGAGGCGTCACAAACATTTCTGAGCTTGTAGGGCTAGAAGCTGGCAAAAAAAGAAAGAACAGAAGCTCATGCAAATCACGGCGACCAAAGGCTATTTCATTATTATGCTTTATTATAAAATTTTATCCTCAGCTTTGTCTGCTCATTTATTCCATCGTTTTTTGGCACAGTTGATTAGGTCAGTGCGTCGTTTCCATGTAGTGCACTACAGTGCTAAAGCTAAGTTATACTAACAAAGAAGAAAACTTGGCAAAAGATAAGCGTGAGCACATAAGATGATGAGTAGAAGAAATGTAGTAACATCACTAAATGCCCAAACTGCACAACCTGCTAAATGAGAAATTATAATAACCCTGAAGGTGATCAATTATGTATACATATACACAACTGTTTTGTTTAAAGTGTATGGAGGGGGGAGCGGAGGTAATGAAGTTTTAAAAACGGTGGTGCTACTTTCTGCAGCCTGTAAAGAAGCACAAGTCAGCGCCACAGGCAAAGGAGTAAGGGAATAAAATAACAGAGGAGGAGGAAGGAGATGGGAGACCTTTAGGGAAATGTAAACACGTACATGGAGTGATGTTGAGGCGCGTCTCTTCTCCCTCAAGCAGCTTGCGGTAGGCAGCAATTTCGAGATCGAGTGCCACCTTTATATCCAGCAGGTCCTGGTACTCTCTCAGTTGCTGCTCAATCTCGGAACGCAGCCGGCTGATCTCTTCATCCTTTGCCATCATCGCTCGGGTGTTCCAGTCACGCTCTTGTTCCAGCAGTTGCTCCAAGTCCCGCACACGGGATGACAGAGACTGGTTCTGCATGTGTCGCGTGGGGAAGAAAGAGCTTCATTGAAGTGCACTAATGCTAACATTTTTCGTTACTGCACTCCAGCAAAAAAAAAAAAAAGAAGAAGCTATACATTTGTATATGGCACTTAACAGCTAGACAAGCAAATTAGACTGCACTTGTAAATTTCAAGAAAAGTATATACACGATTGAGCTGATACAGACATCACCTCTGTCATTACTCTATGCTTCTACATCTTCCCCTAAACATTTATGTTACTACATCAACATAAAGAGAAAAATAAGTTGGCAGTCTTCCATTGCTCACGAAAAGCTAAAAGACTTCTTGGAGTGAAAGCTTCCCAGTTAACAAAAAGTTGTCCTCGTCTCAGGACTGGACCTGGAATTAATGCTTTTCTGGGGTGATAACTCCACCAACTGAGCTTGTTAAATTCAAAGTCTAGCATATAGTACCAGCAGCACTGTTTCCATGAGACCTCAAGTGCAAAATTTCTACAGTCGCAAACGTGCAATACTCAATTAGAATGCCTGTCGTCAAACAAAAAAAAAAAAGAAGGAAAAAAAAAAGGCTGCCATATTTGAGTCGTGGCTCACTGACTTACCAGAGATTCGAGCTCAGCGATGCGAGATTTGACACCGTCCAGGCGAGTCTTGTAGGTGTGCAACTCATCACGTGTGACGGAAGAGTCTGACGAGCGTCGGTCCAGCAGTTCCTGAAGGTCACGCATCTTGGTCTCGTAGATGCTCTGCATTTCCTCCCGGTTCAGCTGCATCTGCGATTCATACTGCTCACGAAGTTCCTGCAGAGTGTCAGCCAGTTTGCGCTCGTAGTTCTCCTTCAGCCGCCCATCGATTTCTGTGATCTCGGTCTGTTTGACAATGCGCACTTCCTGCAGTTCCTGCACAAATCAAGCGGGAAAGAAGGGTGAATGAGATAAAGCTAAGGCAGTGTTCCACACTCCAGTCCAGCAGTCCAGGTATGGACAAGCTTGCTGTACTGGATGTACTTGAACATTACAGATTCCCTTCATATTAGATCATGACTGCGACTGCAACGCAAACATTATGGAATCTTGGAAAATACAATGCCATACGGCAGATAACACATCTTTCAAATTGGAAAAATTATTTGTCACAATCTGGGCTTAGAAAACATGTCTTGTAGCATGTGGTACACAATCTTGCTGCTCACAGCATTTTGTAATCACAAGTGATTAGGTCACTCTACTATAGTAAATGTGAAAACCGTACATACAGCTCAAAAAGACATTGTTAAGCAGTTTTCATTAGTGTAACACATCTTCTTTGCTTAGCCCATTATGTAATGAAATCTTGGGCCACAAATTCGGCACCATGATTTTGTATTTTAGTCTCGAATTTCATAATATAAAACATTATCAACTCAATGACTAGTATACTGTGCTACATGCATGGGAAGAATTGCCTGCTAGCTAAAAGTAGACATAAAAGGCAAGTGCAAGCAGTATGGCCTTTGTGGCCCCCCAATCAAAACCTACTACATGCATCTGTTTAGTGTCATGTGTCGAGCACACATTCGAGACTTGTGATGTGTATGTCCTCGGGACAACACATCATAACCCTGATGTTTGTTCATCGACCAGATTCAAATTTTAATAGTGCTACTGCATCTCTTACTAGATTGGTGATCTATACTAATCACTGAGATTATAATGCAACTGTACTTGTATTGTTGCCTCTACGTAAGCTTATTTATTTCCCAGTGGTTGAGATCATTCCCCAACCATGCATTATTATGAAGTATGCAAACATACAACACAATAAAAAAATGTGGTACAAAATATGAGGCAGCTTGATAATACTAACACAGCTTGATATCTATTTATATTTCACAACGAGAAGTTCATTTATTGGTTTGTGAGGTTTAACGTCCCAAAACCACCATCTTATTATGAGAGACGCCGTAGTTGAGGGCTCCGGAAATTTCGACCACCTGGGATTCTTTAGGGTGCACCCAAATCTGAGCATACGGGCCTACAACATTTCCGCCTCCATCGGAAATGCAGCTGCCGCAGCCGGGATTCGATCCCGTGACTTGTGAGTCAGCAGCCGAGTATTTTAGCCACTAGACCACCGCGGCGGGGCACAATGAGAAGTTCAGTGAGTTAGTTTTGATTCACGACACGAAAAAGATGACGAAATAAAAAATCAACTTGCCACATTGCCTTGTTCATTTTTTTTTTTATTCAGTGTTGGTAAGGCTACTCACACAGAATAAAAGAAGACTATAGCATGAACTTATTTGTACTTTGTTGCTAGCTGTACAGTACAGTTTGTTATTACCTGCACATGCACTGCCAAATAACAATAAGTGCAAGTAACAATGGTCGCATTGTTATGAGATGCAGCTGCTACTTTTCACGCACTGCTGTCTTGATAAGTGCGCGCAAGCGAAACTACACATAGCATGCATGCATGCTATATATACTTTGCATATGACATTCTTACAGTACGGCCAATGAAAATAGACACACCTTTTCATAAAGGGACTTCTGGAAGTCCAGCTGCTCATTCAGCGTCTTGGCTCGGTTGCTGAGGTCTGTGCAACGCAGAATCTGATCTTGCAACTCCTTCTTGACTCGCTCGAGTTCTTTTGCCAGGGCATCTCGCTCATTCTCGGCCTCCTACAAAGACATACATACTTGCCCGTTCAGAATGGCAAGGCAAAATAAATGCCTCTAAAAAGAAAATCTCTTTCGCACAATCAGTACCCAATCATGACCTACTATGGACCAGCACCGAGAAACACTTGAGTTCTTTCAGTACGAGGCCATATCGTATGGTCAAATATAGAATTGTCACAGTCTTTATAAGCACCACAGGAAGCGGGTAAAAAGAAGCTTTGGAGCAACTAAATTACCATTTCAAAAGACAGTAGCTGAGGTGTATCGGACTTTTTGTTTTTCACTAGTGGCGCATGCATGGTATATTAGCATGATGACCCTGACAACACAAGTTTAATAAAAGGGCTTGATCACATAGGATTATATTGTTTCATAAGGAACGCTACTGTTGCTAAGCTTGAGCAAGGAGAAATGCCATTGCATATAACTTCGTATACTGCATTCAAAATGCGGTGGTGCTACTGAGGACGTCTGATTAGAAGCAATTTTTTGGCGCAGCAAAATTTTAAGTTTCTAGAATTTGGGGGCAGCGAAAATTTCCATATTGGAGCACTCTGGAGCAACTAATTTCACGTCCTGGAGTAACAGAAGAAGCAAGTTGCAACAGGCAACATTCAAGAACTTGAATATTCAATTAATAAGGGGCTTTCACGAAGATCTATAAATATTTAAATCGCCTCGATAAAATCGTACTTTATGAAAGAACACTCTGAAGACATCTATGTGGTTATCAGCAGATATGGTTGACAAATACCGTGAGTTACAACACTAAAGTACTCTTTGCCGGGCTAGTCGGTTCATGTTCCTGTACAAGCCACAAAGATACGTCTGTTTTTGCGTGGCGAAAAAAAAAAGAGGAGAAAAACGAGTTCACAACGGTACTTCACTTTCACCACAAAGGCAAGTTTGAAAAAAACATCAATGGCAGAGAAAGCCTTTTGCCCACTTCCACTAACTTTTAATAATTCGTAACGCTGCACGCTGAACGGCCCTTGCACTTCCACAACAGCACATTTCGTAGTGCATATACTCAATACAAGAAGATTGGTGAGGAGACGAGCTTGCCTACTAACTGAAACCAAAAAAGCCCAAGTGGCCTTACTTGTACAAAATTTTCTTCATGGCTTATAATTAAATTTGTCAGAAATAACCAGCGATAAAGCAGGATAGTGTAAAAATCCCACTCCTGAACGATTTAAGGAGCTTCGCAGATAAATACATTACCAGGTCTAAGAGAGGTGCCATGGTAGGCAGTTTCAGATTAATGTTTTTGCTGTCAGGGCATTTTATAAACCACGAAAGCCAGGTCACAGAAAAATTTTCACAATCCTTCCCCAGTAGAATATTAAACATTACAAAGCGAGCACCTTTTTTAACAATAATAATAATTAACAAATAATGAATTATAAATGTGGGCATGATGACTTGCCTCCCACAAATATACATTTCAAGGTTATTTTAAACACACATGAATCGGTTTCACAATGAAATTAGTCATGCCCAGTTTGAAAAACAAAACAAAAAAATAAATGTTATAAGCTTAATTTTGACGAGCAGCTTTGCTCCTTTATGGTACTGTGACTCCAAGTCAGACTGGCTACACCAAAAGATAACTTAGGATAAATATTCCTTTTTTAGTGAAATCTTTCATTACCTCCTAATTTTATGTTAGTGCATTCTGTCAGATGCCCCTCCACTTCCTCTAGTACAGTGTACTGTACACATGAACCATTAAATCATTTATAGAGAACATTGAGATTATCACTCCGAGGAGACCAAAATAAGTCATTGCTGACTCCTCACCTTAAGCTGTGTCAAAGCCTGGTTCAGACGTCCTTGAAGGTCAACAACCTGAGACTCCAAAGTTGTCGCACGTCGCTCTGCTGTGGACCACTCACGCTCCCTCTTGTTCAGCCTGAACACGTTAGAAATTTTATATTATAGCAAGACAATACTATTTATCATGTCAAAAACAACACATCACCAAATACAATAGGGAGGCGCTGCGAGCGCGCAACGAAGCGAGACGTGCCGCGCACCGGCTCCGTCGATTTTCGGCTGGAGCCACGGCTCAAATAACTGCACTCGACGAAGCAAGTCATCTGTACCCGTTGGAATCAACTTTGACCCAGCGGGCCCACGTTTCAAGTCATTACCGCCGACGTTCACCCGGCCACGGGGGCGACGCCGTTACGCCTAACGGCGACGCCGGGACCTGGTGGCCTGCAACGCCGACGGCGTCGCACCTGCGGGTTACGATCCCGAAGACAACAACTCCGCTGTTCCGAGTTTTCGGCACCCATCGCTGAAACGGTCGCGCGTCCGTTCAAGCAAAGACAGCGGCGTCCAACGCCATCCCGGCCTCCTGAACACCGGCCGGCAAGACGCCGCCTCCAGTATCGCGCGCTGCAGGAGGCAAAAGCAAGGCTATTACGAACTGGGGGCCTCGCCCATTCCCCAAAACCAGGCCCAGAGGACTTTGTGGTCGTGCTCAAGCTCCGCGAACATGTCCCGCTGCACCAAGCTTTCTCGGAGAACCGCTACGGAGCCACCTTTACGGCCTACCTTGGACCCGAGTTGGCAAAGTCAATCATGGTTGTGCCGTCTCGTGAGCAAAACGTGTTGATCCACACCCCGAACCCATGCGGCGGCAGATCGGCTTCACGGGGAATTTTCGGTGATCACTGAGCGTGGGGTGATCCCGCTCCATGAATAACTCCGACAAGACGGCTTTGTCGTCGTCAGCAACTCAGATACCACTGAATCGCTTCAAAAGCAGGTGCAATGGGGAGCAGGCACCACCGTCGAGGTGAGGAAATTTGGATCCTCTAACAAGGCTCGGGTCACCTTCGACGGGAAGGTGAAACCGCGTTTTGTGCATTATGAGAACATGCTTATTCCGGTGCGCAAATACTACCGGACTAGTCCAGCTTGCGGCCTGCTGTGTGGGTCCGTCGGTTATCGAGCGGATGCATGTCCCAACACAGCCCAACACGTGCGGACTCTGCGAACAAGAAGCTCTTCTTGTGGAGGGTGTGCGGGCCCCTCACAAGTGTATTCCGCGGTGCTCAGCATGTGGTGGTGAACATGCAAGAAACTCGCGAGAGTGCGGCGAAATTCCGCACCCATAAGGTGATCGCCCTGGAATAGGCCAACGTTGAAGGGGACCTGGGCGTTGAATGGCGCCAACGTTGAAGGGAAACGTTGCAAAACACGGAACTCAGGTGAGCGGTAAAGGGCAGGGCCGCCCCACCCCCCTTCTGCCCGCTGTGCCGAGCAAACCAAGATAGCAGCTCTCAAGGGCTCAACATCTTTAGCAACAACTCAAAATTGAGATGTTGCTTCAAAAAAAAAAGAAAAAAGAAAGAAAGAAAGAAATAGCGCTCCTAGAATCCAAACCGAAAGAGCTAACCAATCCCTCCTCACCCGCAACTGAGGCTATGAAGAGTAAGTAAGCCCACGGCCCCGATGGCAGCACTGGGCGCGGAAGCTGCACTTGTGGCTCGTTTAGAGGCCCCGCATGGACTTCTTAATGCCTTAGAACATCAAATTTCCGCGGCACTGACCTCTGCTATCGCCGAAATGGCCGAAACGATCCCCACAATCATTGGCCAGCACTTCGCACAGTCGACGCGTAGCGTCCGACGATCCGGCTTTAAAGACGTGTCTGCCCGCTATCCCAAAACCTCGCGATGATGTAGATGAAGATGACAGCTGCACGCTTACAGGAATTGAGGCCGCCACCCTCGCTGCGAGTGCTGACTCCGCAGCTGCGTCCTTACAATCGCTTTTTTTAATGACGATGGCGGGCAACCCTCAAGTTAGACGCTTTTCATGTTACAATTTGGCAACCCCCATTCAAATTACTCAACGGAACTGCTGGCGATGCCGTTTCGCGCCAAGCAGGCTCATTTCTGGCTTTTCACATCGAATCTCGCTTCACTTCCCGCAGTGGTTGCCCTCCAGGAGCCAGAGAGCGGCGCTAGCCCTCCAAATTATTTCACGTTTCAACAGGACCCCTCTTCCTGTATATTCGTGCACAAAAACTATACAGCCAACTAAGTAGATTTGGAACTTAATACTGTATATGCAATGGTCAGTTTCTTTCCGCTTAAAGAACGAGACGCACCATTACACATACTCAACATCTACTGCTCTCCAAAACTTAAAAACGTTGCTTTCGCAACCCTCTTCAGTCGCACCCTGAAGGCTGTGGGCAGACATCCCCCTTGTGATCATGGGCCACTTCAATGCTCACAGCACACTCTGGAGGTACGTGCGCGATAAAAAGCGTGGGTGCAAGCTAGCAGAACTTGAGTCCACGCTGGGCCTCACTCTTCACACTGACCCTAGATATCCAACGCGAGTGGGTAACTCCGTGACTCAGGACACATGTCCGGACCTTACCTTCACCAAAAACATTAGACACGCAGACTGGGCCAACACCAAGGAAACCCTCAGCAGCGATCACTGCACACTCAACACAACTGTCACAACCACACCACTGGCTAGACCCCACGCCCAAGCCCGCCTACCCGACTGGACAAAGTTCCGGAAAAATTACACCAATCTGGCCCCAATTCACAAAACAAGTGGTTACCACGCGTGGTCACAAGAATTGGTTACCCACCTTCGTTCGACGGAAACTCAAGTCCAACTCTCACAGGCTACGCCAGGGTTGGACAACCACCTCCTTCACCTCTGGGAGGCGCGGCACAGCCTCGTCGGCACATGGCACCAGCAAAAACACAATCGGAAGCTCAAAAATCGCATTGCCGAGCTCACCCAACGAGCGGCTGAGTACGCCGCCCAGCTCGCCGACTCGAATTGGGTGGAACAATGCAACAGGGCTGCTAGACGAATTTCCAGCCGGAACACTTGGCGTCTCTTTTGCGCCTTGATTGATCCGACCCAAACCAGAGCCGAGACACAAAAACATCTCCAACGGGCTATCCATGCCTTCGATGGAGACACTTCAAAATTAACATGCAAACTTCGCAATCAATACCTCTGTGCCCAACGTGACATTCAAGGACTAGCGTACTCGTATGCAGGTTCTGAGAACACAGAGCTGGATCAACCATTCCGGCTCCATGACCTGAAGGCGGCCCTGGCTAAAATGAAGCAAGCAAACGGCACCGGGGAGAGACAAAGTAACAGTGAAATTACTTGCCAATCTGCCCGAGCAGGCAACGACGCACTCCTCGCGTACATAAACACAATCTGGTTTGGTGGGACACCCCTCCCAATCGAACGGAAGACTGCCCTGGTCACTTTCATTTCAAAAGCCTGGAAAGCCATAAACACGGATAACCTTCTCCCCATCTCTTGCACGTCTTGTGCGGGAAAGCTGATGGAGACTATGGTGCGAGATCGGCTATCCGAGTTTTTGGAGAACCAACACTTATTTCCTGACACAATGTTCGGGTTCCGCCCGCACAGGATGTCTTGCTTCAGTTAGACCGCAAAATTCTAAATGCCATCGACTACCCCCTCAATGAAAAGGCAGTACTCGCCCTCGACATGAAGGGAGCTTTTGACAACGTCACACATAACATCATTCTAACGCACCTTTCCCAAATCAACTGTGGACACAACACGTTTTGATACATTAGACAATTCCTCTTTGACGGACAGTCATATATCCGAATACAAAATTAAGAGTGGCCCCTATTAATTAGGAACGAGAGATACCCCACAGGGCACGGTCCTCACACCCCTACTGTTTAATCTGGCTATGATGAACCTACCGGCTCAGCTGCAGAATGTTGAAGGCATACAACACGCACTTTATGCCGATGACATTATCATATGGGCTAAACATGTATCAGTAGGAGACATATAAGCCAACCTGCAGCAAGCGGCGGAGATCGTGGACGCCTACGCCCGCCGCTGCGGCCTTCAATGCTTCCCGACCAAATCGGAATTTGTGAACATTCGCTCCTTGCAAAAGTGCACTACCGAAATTGAACTGTTCCTTGCAAAGCGGACCCATCCCAGAACACGATGAGATCAGAGTACTGGGTCTCTTAATTCACAAACATCGCTGTGTCGATACAACATCGACAAAACTGTGTAAGGTGGGGGACCACGTGGGCCGTATGGTTCGCCGGGTTTCCAACAAGCGCGGGGGGTTACGTTGCAGAGACGCCTTGCGGCTGGCGCATGCATTCGTAACCAGTTGAGTCCTCTTCTCGGCTCCTTGCCTTCATCTGCGCAAGTTCAATAAGAACACCCTTGAGGCGATTCTCAGGAAGATGTACAAGCGTGCCCTCGATCTCCCTATAGCCACGTCCAACCAGCGTCTTATGGGCCTGGGGATGGTAAACACTTTTGCAGAGCTCCGGGAGGCACACTTGACCATCCTATACACGAGACTTTCAAAGACTCCGCCGAGTCGCCACCTATCAGCCCAACTACACATCCACCATCCAACAGAGAGGGAAGGGCGCGTACGAATTCCAGAAATCTGGAGATACGCCCTGCATGTGCACCCTCTTCCGGCCAACATGACACGCGAAGACGACAGTGGCAGGCACCTTGTTCAGGCAGAGGCACTAGGTCGCCACTATGGGAACAAACACGCAGATTTTACGTGAACGCCTCCGACCCTCACCATGGTGGGTGGTACACAGCTGCAGTCCACCAAATGTCGCAGTGAATGGTCTCACATTCAAAGCACAGGACGTAACATATGCGGAGGAAGTCGCCATCGCACTAGCTGCCGCAGATTTGGACTCTCGCATCATTACCGACTCTAGAGGGGCCTGCTGAAATATTCAACGCGGGTATGTCCCACACCTGGCGTACCAATCTTACAAAACAGCAATTACATCGGGGCCCCCGCGTCCCGAAGGATCATATGGGCTCGAGCTAACATGGGCCTCGAAGGCAATGAAACGGCTGACGCCGCCGCCGGCGCACTCACTATCCGGGGTAACGCCTTCAGACCCTTCCTAAATGGATCTCTAATCCAGTCCGGCCTTAACATTTTGAGAAATGACTGAATTCTACCAATTCTGCCATGCAATTTATCCTAAACCCTGTAAGGGCCTTACAAAGGCGGAGGAGCGCTTACTCCTCCGTCTTTACATTAAAACACTACTGTGCCCGGCAGTTTTCAAATATCTCGATCCTGCCTGTACAGGAAAATGCCCACACTGTGCGGAGAAGTTTTCGGACATCTTCCGCATGGTGTGGGCATGCCAGTCAACCCCTCGCTTCACCCCAATGCCGAACCCCACCCGGGAGAACTGAGAAGACGGCCCTGCTCGGCTGCTCGGACCTGGCGAGCCAGAAGGGCCTGGTAAACCAAGCCAGAGTCGCATTGGACGCCAATGGGCTTCTGCGTTGGACGCCAATGGGCTTCTGCAATGAGGACCCCACCTAGTGTTTATGAGGGGTGGCTCACACTGGGCCACCTCCCACATACTGCCTGTATATAAATAGAATAAAGTTTTTCTTCTCTATCTCTCTCCAAATACAATACACAGATGCATGCTCGCAAGGAGTGAACATGAGCTGACCATGTAATGCATTGGACAAACAACCAATAAGTTACTGCGATGAAAAAATGGTTAGCAAAAGATGATAAATGCACCGAGGACGGTAATGAGCTGGATGGAGTGACAAAATTAAGAGGTTTACAGGGATGCAATAAAATACGCTCGTACAAGACAGGGTAAATTGGAGATCATTGGAAGAGACTTCTGTCACGTAGTGACCATGTAATAGGTTGATGTAATATAAACTGAATGCTGCATGTTAATAAAACTAGCCATATTTGTCAAACATGTTCGTTTATAACGAACTAGTTACATATAACTTGTTACTACTAGTATGGTTATTGTGTAGCACAACCGATATGAATGTTAAAGAGTGATTTAATGTGGGGTTTAACATCCCAAAACCACCATATGATAGATATATCTATCTATCGAGCTCTACATTGGGGTTTAATGCCCTAAAACCACCATATGATTATGAGACGCCGTAGTGAAGGGCTCCGGAAATTTCGACCACCTGGGGTTCCTAAACGTGCACCCAAATCTGAGCACACGGGCCTACAACATTTCCGCCTTCACCGGAAATACAGCCGCCACAGCCGGGATTCGAACCCGCGACCTGCGGGTCAGCAGCCGAGTACCTTAGCCACTAGACCACCGCGGCGGAGCGATGTTAAAAAAGGTGAAGTCATATGCTTGTAGTGTAACTGATTGCCCCCCGCACTTACGGCACCAATACGGCAAGTGTTTTCAAGTGTTCAAGTGTGAATGAAGCTGCTTTTTCAGGAAGTCAGTTAAATATAATTCACAGAATAAATGTTTTCACGGAATAAATTTTTCCTTTTACTGATAATAAAAGAAACTGTACACAAAGCTTCAGAGTGGAAGTTAGTGCGCCACTCGTGAAATATTTTAATTCTGCATTTGTATATACACGCATACAAACGCACGCACAAGAGTGGCATAAAAATATGTTCTGGTTCCGTCTTGGATCAATTGAAACTTTGCAGCTTCCCGCCCGCTGCGCGCACCTCTCCGGAAGTGACGTCGTTTTACTTCCGGGACGACTTGTCCGGCTCCTGCCGAGGCGTTCGATCAGCGATACTAGGAATTCCATAGTACGTAAGCTCAGCTCCCCTAAGGACAAGATGCCTGACGCCCACGCGAGCGTATCTATTTCCAACTAGGCCAACAGGCCGACTGTTCAAACAACCAAAATCGTTAAAGATGGCGCAGGAACCGACCTACTTGGATGCATCCCAAAATAACGGTGAAGCAAAAATACAATAAAGAGCCGACCACACATGGTCGACAAAAACGGCGGCACACTCACTTTGCCTGCAGAGCCTCGGCGTCGGTCTGCCATTTCTTCGCTTCCAGCTGAAGCCTGGCTCTTTCGTTGGCCGTGTCGTCGACGGCCCGCCGGGCTTCGGCCAGTTCTCTTTCGTAAAGATTCTTGACGCTGGTCACCTCTCGAGTGCGGGTCTCCTGGCTCGTCTCGATCTGCTTCGTGAGCCTGCTATTCTCGGTTTCCAACTCGCGCACTCGGTCAATGTACGCAGCCAGCCGGTCGTTGAGGTTTGCAAGCTCATTTTTCTCCTGGATCCGGGTGAACCGAGACTGACTCAGCGGCGAGCGCGAGCGCCGGTCTTGCCGCCCGCGCCCACCGTCCTGCGGAGTCTGAAACCCGGCCGCCGGGTTCTCCTCGTTGTCGCCACGGTCCTGCGACGTCGATGCGCTGTGAGACGATGTCGTCGTGGTGACAACAGTCTTGCGGACGCTCCTCGTCGCCATCTTCGTTAGCCGGCGTCACGGCTGAAATGCCTCGCTATTCACGTTCCAAAAACGTCGACCGCGTACTGCCTCGCCCGAATACCGGCACCGCCAAATACAAGATGGCGAACTGCCGCCACAGAAACGGCTTGCTCGATTTCACGCGGCCGCATAGCAGTACGAGACGTAGGCACACCCTCTCCACGCCCCCTTTCCTTTCAATATGACGTTCCTGATGACGTCAGTTTTCCCGCCAAGTTTGTTTATTGGCTGTGCTTCACGGATGTTGCTGGAACCGTTGCGACGATTCTGACCGTATATTCTTGCACAGATATTTTAATATTTGCTGTGAAGTCCATGAAGGGAAGGAATGGTAAAGTAACCAAAGGACGATATCGTATATCATATCACTCCGTGAAGCCCATGAAGGGATGGAATGTTAAAGTGACCAAAGGACGTCTTCATATCATTTATTACATCAGTCTTGAAATCTGAGCATTGCTAGCATTGCGTACCTTCTCAATACAAGCGACAAATGCGTTAACAAAAAAAAAAAGAACAGAGTTTTTTTTTTTTCTACTCGGTCTTCAGTTCGCGTGCTATTTCTTCATAAACCAGAACGAACTCGCCCATTTCTGTTCAAGCGATGGCTTGAAAGGGAATGTAATAAATGCGTCCTCTAGAATCTGCGATATCATCGGAGTTGAAACGCGATGAAATGTGCATGACGTAAAAGGGTGGATGTGTCACTGCTTGAGAGGAGAACGTCTCGTGGTTCCGATTACATAGTCAGTTTTAATGGTTAGGATCTGATTTCATTATTAACACGGGTTGTTCTTACTATGTGTGTGTTTTTTTTTTTATGCTCCAAACTTCAGGAAATGCAGCTACACACACCACGGGTCGGGTCAGACGTTCGCAACTGTGAAGCTATGTGATGTAGATACTGAAACACGGGAGCGCAAAAAAAAAAAAAAGCGCGGAACCACGTCCTTCGTGTACTAGATCGACCAAAGTACTGCATCGACTGCAATGAACCGACACTGTAATGACCTACTAACCCAGCCAGGTGCCGCGCGCGGAATAAATTGCCACTTGACCTTACACGCCGTCATCACTCGCGTGAAACCGGTATCTCTCCTTGCGCCGGTAGCCGAGGGTCGTCCTAGCAAACTTTAGCTGGTCCAGCTAAAGAAAAAGAAAAAAATCGAAGAACGTGCCCGCTAACGCAGTCACGCCGTCTGCCGGTGCGTGGTGCTATCATCGTTTGGATGACGTCGAGAGAACGGCGTGCGGGGAAGGGAGAAATGCTCTTTGGAGATTGCGTACAACGCGCTAGAAAGAATGAGAAAGAGTGGGTTCTCCATCGAGCGCGAAAGGTGTGGCACTTCAAGGCTGCGTCTACTAAAGAAATAATACTAAATACACAAAGTAACAAGAAGGCTTAGCGCGCGCGCAGAGAGAGAGAGACAGAAACTTGGGGTTTCGCAAGAGCGCTCTGCTGGCAAAAGCAGACGAGAAAAATGATCAATAGAAGCAAACGCGCCAACGGTCGGCTCAGTGTTTCAAATCACGCACGCTTCACCATTCATTCCTTTCCGCCCTACACACCACCATGGCAACAAGGTTTCGATGAACGAAAAAAAAAACACAACTTCTTCGGGGGTGAATACTTGCGCAATCGCGAAGCACATATATCTTCCCGCGGCGCGTCGCATTTTATGTATATCATGTACTTTTAGTTTCTCTCGTTACAAGCCAAGGTCAAGCAGATGGCAGCCGGGGTCGCGTGCAGACGGAGCGAATCTGCACACATTGCGACCTATATACGGAAGGACCACACCCAGAACCCAGACCACTTTGTCACGTCACGTGTATACGGTAGGTTGCAGGGATATGCCGGCCATTGCACCGGCGAGTTCTCAATGAACACGTGCCTTGAAAGAGGGAAAACGTGCAAAGCGCGGCGCTTCGAGCTGGACTGTGTCCAACGCGGTCAAGATACATCTAGAACACACACAAGGAAGGAAGTGAAATAACTTAATTTGGTCCTGCGGAACGCGACTGGGTCACGCACCCGGCTATGCCCCATAACGTTAAAAAAAAAATGACACTAAAGCCAAACAATACATTGGTTTAGATAGATAACTTGAGAACTGTGCTGTCGTTAATTTCGCTATCATAGGTTTTTTTCGTGTAGAACAAAATCAAGGTCACTGTCTAATTTTGAATTTCGCGCTGAAGACTATGCACGTGACGTCATGTAACTGAAAGTGCATATTTCGTGTTTTTGCGATGTTGGCTGGACGAAATTTTCTGAAAGTTGGTAAATAAAGTCTTTGGCGCCCTCAGGGGAGAGAGAATGTACTTCATTTTCACTGATTATAAACTACAGAACGTTAGAAGAAGCCGTCAAAATCTGTTACTTCACGGCGTTTGGTGCGGGAATTTCAAGGTCGCGTCGCCACCCGCATTTTGTTTTTGTGCGGTTCCTCGCTTACCAAGATAGAAGAAATGGTAGAAAAAGAAAAGGTAGAAAGGTTAACCAGTCCAACAAAGAGGACTGAGGAGAGAAACAACAGCAAAGCAAACATGCAGCACACACAAACATACAGTGCGACATCACTATCACGGAAATTGGGAAAGAATAAGTTATTAATGTGAGAAAAATATTTTTTCTTTAACTTGGTTCAAGGAAGATGTCAACAATCAGTTTTAATACCACAGACAATAATGCCGAGTTTTGGATTTCTGATATAAGCCACACTATATCAATCTGTAGCACATCCAATAAAATAATGCAGACTCGTTGCCAGAAAAATCTTCTTAATTAAAGAGTCACTAAAGAGCAGCAGTAAACCAGCTTGGACAGACAAGTTATTCTTTCATCAGAACTATAATGTCCTTAATTTCGCCATCATAGACAAATTATTAGAAGAGGACATGACGGCTGTGGCGGCTGCATTTCCGATGGAGGCGGAAATGTTGTAGACCCGTGTACTCAGATTTGGGTCCACGTTAAAGAACCCCAGGAGGTCGAAATTTCCAGAAGCCTCCACTACGGCGTTTCTCATAATCATATGGTGGTTTTGGAACGTTAAACCCCACAAATCTCAATCAGAAGAGGACATGAATCAAGGTCGAAGTTCCATATTTTATTATCTAGCAAATTCTTCAGCATGTGAACGTCAGAGTGGCATAACGAATTTCAAAGGCTTTTTGCATGTCTTGTTCACATGAGTTCAATAAAATATTTTGAAACCTACAGAGTTAGTACTTTTGTATACCATAATGCAAAAATAGTTTTTAGCGATGGACTATCCTGCAGGCCGCAGATGCCATCAAAATGCACGACATCACAGTAAGCCGGTCTAGGAACATTCCTTCTTCCATGTGCAAGAACATCAAGGCAGTGTTCACATCTGTATATTCTCCTTGGGGTTTTCTTTCTTACCTAGCGCCTTCTCACAGTAGGAGCGGTGCCTCTGGTGCTGTGAAGTTGTACTTTAATCTGAAAAATCCTTTTTTTTAACATAGTCAGAAGGGAAATATATGGTTTCTATATTTATTTCATTTGAAAATTTATTAACCCGTTTCTCCCGAGACAATAAGACCATTGTTGATTAATAATGCCATTCTTTAAAACGAAGTTACAAACTTGCAAAGAATGCAGCCAAGGATGGGAGTCACCAAAATATTGCTACATATACAGTTTCACCAAGATAAGAATACTCCCTATATGTATAACATGAATTGAAAGAAGGCTTTAGAAAGAACAAACCCTTCAAATGCAGTTCCTATTCCTCCTACTCAATGCTTTTCATTTCTTTTTTTGAGATTGAGGAGATACAATAGTGACAGTATATTGCCATTTGCCATTTTTGGACCAACAAAGCAATAAAACAATGTAAGGCACAAAATGAATGGTCTTTTCCCTCTGGCATGTTATATTAACAGCTTAATACCACCAAATAATGGCATCACATACAGGGGTGAAAGGAGTAACAGAGTGTGATACAGAAAAGAAGCATTATCATGTCTAAGTTGTTTTGTGCGGAGTGTACAAGTTCCTATCCTTGAAAACTTTATGCTGCTTTGCCGTGCACTCTTTTATGAAATCTTAGGATCGGGCAGGCAAACATTAAAGTGACTGCACAGGTTTATAAGTGTAAATGCAAGAGGCTCACCACACCCACAACGTTGCTTAAAGTTGACTGACGTTTGAAAACAATAACCGGTCAATACATACACACAATACATAAAGTTAGAACGAGTATATTAATGCATCATGATAACATGACAAACCAGAACATCATAAATAGTGGCTGAAAGTTCTAAACACACGCTTCAACAGTTCTCTACAGGAATAGCAAATGGCAATCGATTTTCCCATATATGTTTGGAGAAATACAATGCAAAAACAACAGTACTGTTAAAATTTCTAGTTTATGTTTTGCATTGTGTACATGCATCTGCGATATCATCGAAGTTGAAACGTAAAAAGCAAACATGCCATAATGATTCGTTAGCTAAGCAATTAATAAAGAGCTCAATGTAGGATTGTTCTTAATTATTCTGAATGACACTCGGTCTATAAGAGCTTCATCATGACATCTGTTTCTGAATGGTGAAGCTGTCACTAATGTCTTAAAATTCAGTGAATGAATGGATGAGTAAATCAGCTGAATAAATTAAGTCATGCTCTCGAGTATACAAGGCTCTGCGGTGTTTTCATACACAGCCTATGCCAATGTTGTCCTCAGCTCTGAAACTTGTCATACATTTGTGCATTTCAGATGAGCATGGTTTACAATGTAATTACGGAGAGCATTCGTTACAAAGTAAAAGAACGCAGAAGCTTTTCAGGTATCACAGGTAACTTTTACTTTAACGTACAATATACAGTGTATATACAATTATATGTAGCAAGAAATAAAATAATTAGTTCAGGCTTAAGGCTTCGACGAAGAAGGCGAGAGGTAGTTTGTGATGGAATTTCGTTGCCGTGGCTGACTGCACCTTGGCCGCTTTTGCGACCGTTGACTTTTTGGCGTCTCGATTTTCCTGAAAAGAAAAAACAAAATAATTTGCAATGCGAATGCAATCCACAAATGCTGGCAGTGTTTATTTGTCTTTATTGACTATATTATATTTGATAAGGAAAAATGCCAATGTTCATTCTATTGCATGGAGCAGACAAATGTAAATTATTATAGTGAAAGAATACATGTATCTTATGTGGACTGTTGCGACTGGCATGTGAACATGAATAAGTGAGATTGAGAAGCAGCAGTTGGCAGGAAGCCAGGACTTTTGTTAGAAGGGCAGAAGCTTAGGGTTTATAATAACAGGGTGGAAGGGGGAGTTGTCACTGTTCATCCATTACTGTTTGTCCATTTTTCGATCATTGCAATACTAATGCCGTCAATAAGCAAATAGGTTCAGTTTCATCGCACATCATGTGGCTATGCAGTTGATGTGTACATAACCATGTGATGTGTGCTGTCCTGGTATGTGTTCATGTACATCAGCACAATTTCGACACAATATGTACATTCAAAAGTACACATGAAATAGTATCTTGTACACTCAAGCAAACCAAAAAATGTATGCACGGGTGAGGAAAATACAAATGTAATCCACTCAGTAACTAATCATGATGCATTGCCAGGAGGTGCAGGTGAACTTGCATGACATGAATTCCAAAGCGCTCAGTGTTACATTCCAAAAATAAAATGATGGGATGCTTTGCTTTGAGTGAGCTTCAGTGATTTAAAGTTAATTAGCATGTAAGTAAATATCTATTACCCTGAAATCAGTCAGCTTCTACATTTGCATAAAAGTAGAAAATATTAAGCCTGAACAGCTCTTTTTGTTGTATTCGTTTCGAGTGAAAAAAAAAGTTTTGATGCTGGTCATGGAACGCTTCACGTCAAACAATCATCGAACATGGTGGTGCATCCAGCAAAGTGATCCTCTGCACTACGTAATACGCAGCGTATTGAAGTTAAATGATCGCTAGTTGTTCACTAATGAAGCCTGGATGAATGTGCACACTAACTTTCAAGCCATTTGAAGAAACACGTGATATGTGATGTCCCATCGAAGTTGGTGTGTGGAATTATACTCATCGTGACTGAAAGGGATATGCACCTTCTTTAAAAGGCTCCTCACCAGGTTTAGCCATTTCAAACAAAAAAGAACAGCACACAAATCACCCTGTAGCGAATACCCTTCAATGTATAAAATGACTGCGTAATGAAAAAATAATGGAAGTCAAAGCAGAGAGCCAGGCACCCTTCCTTTTGAGGAAGCTGCACTTAAAGACTGCAATAGTCGTAAACATATACGACAGGCAACAATCACGTATATGTAACAGGCACAGTGGCCATGGTCTGTTGCGAAGTTTGCAACTGTGCCGCTAAAGATGTGCCATGAAACAAAATAGAGAAATAAGAAAAGAAACAAGGTGAAACTTGTGAAGAAACGTGACACACTAGCTTCGTTACAGCACACGGGGCAAACAGAAGGAAGGTGTGCTCCTTGTGCACTATATACAGTTGAACCCTTTTATTAAGAGACACAGATGTAAAAGACCAATGGTTGTAATAAGCACCAGTGTGCCTACATTAAAACAAGAATTGATGAGAAAATTCATACATAGTACTCTGCTTATAACAGACACCTCTTGTAAGGTACAAGGATTGCTGCTCAGTACTTGTCTCCTATAAAGGGGTTCAACTAGACGACATAACAGGGCAAAGTATCTCCGACGACAACGGCGCTTGCCTTGTGGTAGCATGATGATTGAAGAGTTCTATTTCTTCTATATCCTCCAACACTGTTGAAAGAGCATCTCTTAAGAATGCTCCACAGAGAGCACCTTGGCGACCATACAATTTCCAGTGTGTAACCAGAATCTACCACAATAATACGGAAAGACGGGCTAGTTGGTACTGCTGCATAATTGAAGTTTTTGCGCACACACACAAGGACACAGAAGAAGGGAACACAAGGCTGCGCTGGTCCTTGTGTTCCCTTCTTCTGTGTCCTTGTGTGTGTGCGCAAAAACTTCAATTATGCAGCAGAATCTACCACAGGGCTTGTTAAGGGATAACTCCGGTGCATTTTCAACTATACTGAAATAATGCTGTTTTCAAATAGTATCGACAGTCCTGCAAAAGCTCGGGTGGTCCACTTTGCCCAGCCACTCGTGAATAATTTCAATTAAACAATAAACGACGAGTGAAGACAGAAATTCAAACAGGGAGCTGCTCCGTTATCCATGGTGGATATGGAATAACATTACGAGAATCCATTGTCGATGATGTCACGAGATCCGCTACACCCTGCCACGGCTGGCCAGGGTGTAAACATAGCTCGTGTGCCTCTTCTGACATGCGAAAAGCAAGTTGATGATGTCATTCGACACGGAATCACGCTGTGTCAGCTGGTCTGAACTTACCCGAGACAAGTTTAGCAATGATTGCAGCTACTATCTGAGCGCGGAAACATCGCTTTGTGATTTCATTCTGCCGGCGGGTGAAGCATCTGACGTGCCCCGAATTGATTTCCTCATTGCTCAATATTGTAAGGCATGGTGTCAATGATGACTAACATGCTGTATGCAGCTGAGAAAACTGAACTGTGCTCACGTTGATGTCGCCTAGTAGAAAAAAGCGTGCGCTGCATTTGTCTGCTGGAAAAAGTGGGGTTTTTAAAAAGAGCAGGGCCTTACGTCACATATAAAGGGTGGCCCGCATTTACAAGTGTGATTCCAGAATCAGTTACAAGATTTAAAACTTTTTTTCTAAAAAACTAAATGATTTACGGTTGTATAATTTGGCACATATCACCACAGTACCGACGAGAACACATGTTTGTTCAAAGTTTTATTTAGATTGGTAATAATAAAAAAAAAACGCCGCAGGTTCCCCTTCAATGGGCTCTTTAACATGCTCTAGCCAAACCTCAGTAACAACCATACATCGAAACACTAAGAAAAAGCAGTTCTTAGGAATAGCTAAGTTGGCGGCCACCAGAGTGTCTTGAAGCAAAGTAGGAATCGCGTAACGATTCCTGTCGATTTCTGCACAGCACCTAGGCATAATTACCTCTGCATAGCAGTCTGCTCAAGCATATCTCAGCAGGCCTGAGTTACATTCAGGCAGATTCAAGCTTTCTCAATCTGAAAATTTACCTCTAGTCTGCAGATGCACGCAGAATTCAACTGGGCTAATCAGTTCTCTGCCGAGTTCTTCGTCGTGGTCCAAATTGAATCAAAATGCCTACTGACAAGTGTTCTAGCACCACTGTCAGCTTATTATTGTTCGAGTAGTGTACTTACCGCTTCTCAGGCATCGGGCTGCTAGCAAAATCTTGTGATGATAACATTTCACGAATCATGGGCTTGTTGAGACAGGTGTCGATGTGCTCGTTCACTTTAGACCAGTCGGTTCTCTTGAATGATGTGACCACACACAGGACACTCCACTGATTCAGGCTCTTCCTCCTCTAGAACACTAGCTTTTTCAATGGGTGACACAGACTTGGTGCTGTTGATAGTCCTCGAAATATTGCACTCTGTGTCTTTTTGTCCACAAGGTTAGAACACAATGCTCCAGGTACTGAAGCGATTTGCAACGTATCAGATGTCCAGAAGTGTCCGGATTCTCTCTGTGGTTTGTGTCATAGCTACAAAAGGAACATAGCAGGGAAAAGCTTCAAGAATGGTGATCATCATTTCACGTCAAACTTGCAGAATAGCGCTAAGCACAAAAAACCAGAAAATAAACAACCGAGGCAACATTCTTTGCATTTGTTCCTTTGTTTTTCATCTTTTTCATCTGTCCGTAGCATGGTCTTGCAAGCTTAATATGAATTACCAATTCACCAAGCACATGTCCTGTTGACATTGTCCCAGTAACTATGTAATTTTTATCCTTGGAATATAATGAAGCCTGCACTGATGACAGCAACTTTTATCACACTTACCCAATACCTGTTGTGCCAAGCTCGTTTACTACTACAGGACGAAGAAATCATTTTTCTTAGCAACGTTACCAACTTTGATGTGTTTTGTATTCAAGGCATAGCAAAGGTGAAGAAGCAGATTTTTAATGAATATGCCATCAATTAAACCCTGCAATCACTTCATTAAACTAAACCCTGCAAGTGGCTTTTAAACAGAGCTTCGGCACTCTCCTTGGGCATGACACCCCTGAATTGGCCACAAACCTGGTGCAAAGAACTCCCCACAAAGCATTTTTCACGTACTGCAGTCATTTGGAGCCTCTATCTACATATCTATTCATTGATCTATCTATCTAGCCACCTATGTCTGGGTGCTCTCGTGATCACACCTTAACTAGGTGTAAACCAATATTAGCATGGGAGGGTAAGATGGTTCAACGAAAATATGGCTCGAGTGTCATGACATCCATAATCTCAAAATGTCGTCACGTATGTCGTACAGAATAATAATATAAAAACACCTCACAATTTTGTAAACTGCATTCAGCTTGCGATACATATGAAGTGGACGAATTTGATATGTTGTAAAGTACAGTAAATGTGGACACTACCGCTGATTTGTGGATAGGACATCTTTTTTGCAAAAAGACTTGTAAGCCTTGTCATAATTTGTACAAGTTTTAATATAAATATCATGTTCTTAGGTGTAGTTTACAAAGCTGCAATTGTTGTTTTTGTAGGAAGGCACACTTTTCCAAATTATGCATACAAGTCCTGTTAATATGGCAATATTCTATCATTGAAGTAGTGATGGTAAATAAGCATTCATTAGCTGATCACAAAATTAAAAGCGAGGGGAAAGCCCCTTCTGTATCAGTGAGAAAAGAAACAGCGATTCATGATTTAAAACAAAAAAGACAAGGCAAGAGCTTTCTTACAAGTCATCTCCGCTTGATGATTGGATGCTGTCCTGTTCACCCAGGCAGGCATCCACATGCGCATTGACAAATTCAGCGGAGCTACTTTCCAGTGCCTTTTCGCATATGGGGCACTGGGCCGTTTTTCTGCCAGACAAGAATGCCGATAAGGTTGGCTGTGATGAGGATAAAGACCCACCATCATCTAGGCCAGAAAGCCGGACTCCTGAAAAAAGTAAAGCCAAGTGCGATTCCAGCTGATAACGGCTGGAAAGAAGGTCTCCCAGTGTGATTTTTGAATACCTATTTTCTAGCACAAAAAAGGCCAAGCTAAAGAAATAGATTTCCAGTTTAAAAAGCAATAGCATAGAAAGTGTTGTGAGCACAAGAAAAGATGATTTCATATATTTACACTCAAACCCAGATATAACAAAATATTGTTCATAACAATGTAAATGAAGAATAGTCTTGCATTAGGCATAGTGTTAGAAATATACCCATATAACGAATTTTTGGATATAAAGAATATATTTTTGTGTAAGATGCAGCTTTGTTGTAATGAGGTTTAGTGTGCACCACAACTTTAATTAAGGGCAAAGCTTCTGTGATGTGTGTACCCATCAGACGTAATCGAAGGGGCTGTCCCTGCTTGGCCGCAGTGATTTCTTGTTGCAGAAGCCGCAAGGCTGCCTGTTTGATTGTTTCCAACTTGCAGGTGGCATTCTCCAAAGTAACACTGCGCGTCATCACATCAAACATGATGGTTTTCATTTTCACTGTCACCACTCTACCCTGTATTGAAAAGAGCAAAGAAATATAAACAGTCCCACGTAAAGTATACTTGTAAAGCACGAGCAGCTAAAAAATTCAACATAAATGCATCCCCAATGCTCACAGATATGCCTTCTTCTTGAATCTGTTGATGAAGCTCTTCGCAAAGTTCCTCACATTTTGAGAACAGGTCTTGAGGACTGCTTATTTCGGCAAATGTTTCCTCCACACTTTTCGATTTCCGACTTGAATCACTGCAGGATAATGTTTGCATAACACATATTTTACTCATCTGTTACTTTTAAGACACTTTCTTTGATGCTGTTAAACCAAACTGACACAGCAATCTATGCAAATACTTCAATGCTTTAGCTTTTCCCAGGAAGTTGTAAGCACTAGCCAACAAAACATCACAACTTCAAGTAACCTGCCTTATTATAACACGAACAGAAGACAATTCACCTGGAGGCCCCAGAAACTTCTTCTTTCGGGGGGGAGTATACAGAAGATATCAAATTAATTAGCTCAACAGCTCATCATTTTAAACCAAAAAACATTGTCATTTGATAGATGCATCTACACGAGACAAATGCTCATGGCAGTCTTTTAACATTATTGTTGCAATTCACCACAGAAGCTACATGTAGGCAAATTGCCAAAAGATAAGCACTGGCGTCGTGTAACAATATGGTGTCATGAGAATGGGAGTCATCCAAAGGGCTAGCTTCCTGTATTATGTATCGTGCGAGATCCCTACACAAAAACTAAACATTAATATTCTAGAGATGATTCAACGCAGTGCAGATAGGAATTATTTCTAAATATCGTAACTTGCCTAACGGAACAGCATATTATTTAGACGCTTCAAAGCAAACTACACAGGTTAAAATTTCTTTTCCATTTTAAAAACAGTTGTTTGTCTCCTAGGAGGATATATATAAAAAATTATCCTCCTAGTTTGTCTCTCAACCTGCAGGATTATGTGACACCATTTGCAGCACATGTCATACACAGCATAATCACGACGTTTTTTTAACACTATCACATAACACCAGAATTAACCTTCTCAAATTTCCATTTTTTTTTTTTCAGCAGACTGCAACCGATTGGAATAACTTGCAGTTATCGGAACTAATAAGAGCAGATTCCATCGAATGTACACATATCTACTTAATGTTATTGCCATTGTCGAGTTGACTAATCCTTCATTTTTTATTTATTTTAATGTTAATATTTTGTGCATTTTAAGTGTACCCCCTACCTTGAGTCTTCCAAGAACATAAACAAATGTTCATGTGCAAGCAACGTGTTCTTAATATCCCTCGTTGCTTTCAATGTTATTGTTATTTTTATTTCTTTGGTGCGTATTTTATTTAGCTGTGACTTTTCTTTTTTCTGATTACTACTTATGTATGTTTTATTCATGTATCGCCTTCCTGCTTAATCCTATTAGGGTCTGCTGTATAATATATACAATAAAATAAATAAATAATCATATACAGCTAATGAAGCTGGCAAACAACTTAGCCAAGGAGAGCATAGAAGAAGAGCCAAGGAGGACATATTTGTAGTTTTTTAACTACAGCATAATTATTCTCCCTTAAAATAAGAGCAGTTCAAGCAGATGAAAAATCTTTTTAGCATTGGTGGGATCCCAACCCATAACCTTCGTATCAAAGGTTTCATCAGGTGCCTACAATATGGTGTCATGACTTAGACATACCATTTGACTTCAGTGCAACCAAGGCCAAGAGCTGCACGAAGGTAAAATCGCGCCGTAACTTTCCCCGAAGAGATGGCCGATTTCAGCTCGCTTGACCCAAAGATCATGACACGTGCGTGCCCCAAGGGCCATCAACAGCTGTTCTTGCACTGCACCTATTCCTGGGACCTTTAAAAAGAAAAGTAACAGTTTAGCCGCAAGGGCGAAGCAATGACTGCGATAGAAAAAAAACTGGAATGTACCACAAAGGACAGCAAGCAGCTTGATACCAGAAGCGCGCCGCTGGGGCACAAATAAAGACGCTCGAAAAGGACTGACATGCATAAACCAGGACAGCCTTGAACTAAGAACTGTCACAATCATTACTCCCTTGTGTTTGAGCAACACGCCGCAAATGTCGACAATGCACAACCCAATGCTCTTAGATGTTCCTTTTTCTTTTAAAGTGCGGCACGGGTAGTGACCCCTCTGCATCTTCTGCCACGCAGTGGTGTTTGACACAAGGTGTGCCCAGTGTTCTTACCCCCATCCCAAATAATTGCTATCGCAATAAAAGATATGAATAAGAATACTGAGGTACTTCCATCAAAGACAATAAACTTCAGTAATCCCTTAGAATCTTCATTTCATTAATTGCTACAACAGTAGGATTTCCTAGCTTAGAAGACCACCTGATCATTTTTTTAAAGATACTTTTCCTCGAGCAACTTCACCAACCTTCTACTGAGAGATGGACAAGAAGCCAGTAGTTGATGGGAGGTTAGTTGCACGGAGGGGTAATTTGTATGAAATCTATAAGCTAAAGTGATAATATAGCAAAAAAAGTTAATTATACTGGAGTCCCATTGATTATACCTCATATTAAATATGAAACCTATAAATTTTATAATATTAAAGAAAGAAAAGTATGACATACACAACTTTTACTGTGACACACTATAGCTTGAAATATATACATGGACAGACCCTAGCACTCTCAGAAACTTCAAGTCTAACTAAGCACAGCTGCACTACCTCAAAATATTACCCTTACCTCTTACATTTTTTGTGTAAATGTTTAGGTCACTGGTATCATGAAGCTGTTGTGGCAAGCACTTTTTGCTTGTCGAGTTCCAAATTGGGACTCGAAAGTCCTGTTTAAAGGTTAATGAATTGTCGACACTGAAACATTAGCTATAATTTGATGAGTTAACACTACCTATGAGGTTTAAGTCATTAGCTTTCTCTGCAAATTTGCTTTGCCAAACACACAGTGGCTGTGAATCTCTCGAGCTACTGTGCAAGTCCTATCACGCTTATCACTGCAATGTCATCGGTAGCATTGACTCTATCCTAGCTTTTTTTATTTTTTATCAACTGCTCAAATCGTGGTGCATGCCCTACTGTGAGTATGCTTTATGGTTAAAGGAATAGTTTACTCTGTCATACAAAAATTTCCTGAATACAAAGACAGCTCTGAGCAAGTGTGGTTCTCAGGAAATGCTGACAAGATATCTTATTTGGATACCAAAGTCAATTTTCTCACGGTGCACCTATCAACATCGACACTAACTAGACGTTAGGCTACAGTACTAATCCTGGTGACTTAACGCAACAGTATGGCTAGATGTGATGATGTCAAGCGCCAAAACACACACAAAAAAAAACTTGCGCATCGCCTTCTCGATCGGCTGGTCGCGCCGTGCGGTCACTGTCATTTAGCGTACCGGTGAAGCGAGCTAGTGGAGTCTGGAATAGTGTACGTGCATGCGAATACAAAGTATACTAGTGGTGGTGCTGTAGGCTGTAGTGAGTAGGTTTGTGCACACTCCTCCAACAACATGAGTTGCTGATGACAATCACAGTCGCCAGAGTAACCGAGTGGACGGACTGACAGCATGGACAAAACAAACTAATCTTTACTTAAGCACTATACCACTGTCACAGTAAACGAAAAAATGCCACAGTTTACAATTAATACTACTACTACTACTGTTTGCATTCTACATGAACACTTGTCATATGAAAATGCTGTGTTCACAACAAAGAAGGCCTTGAAAAAGTTGCAGCCATATGCTTACTTTGCGGATAGGAAGGGAAGAGACAAACTTGCGGATAGAGTTCACATCGTTAGGGAGCCTGAATTGGTCATTCGGTTTGCGCATGTCAGAACAGACCTTTGCCAAAAACATGTTGGCAGCTATACCTGAAATGGGAAGACCACTGGCACTTGTAACATCAGACATCTGCACATAATATACACGCTTGCAAACATTTCACCAATGCCCCAAAACTTACCTGCACTTGCTGTCAATTGCGTAGCATCAAAGATCTTTTGTCTCATTTCCTGAACGACATGTTCAGCTTCAGCATCATTTTTGGCCATGTATTCAGTGATGTCAAGGTATGCTTCATCGAGGCCAACTGGTGTGAAGTCTTCGTCATACTGCACAAGCACTTGTCGCACCTGTTGATGTAGTCAGCCACAAGGGCAAGTGGTCCTTTTAGATTTCATTTGACATTTGTCCCCCTCAGTAAGCAACAACAAAGTGCAATGACCCCATGCCTTCAGTGTATGAAGTTGCATGCCACTGCAAAGAAGCCACAAAAACCAGCCACTGCGGGTCATTGTAAACCTGTAATTTTCTTATTACAGCACTTATTCACAAAGTTCTTGCAACAGCATGTTAACATTGTACAAATACGCAGTTGTTTCTTTATTAGAAGTTTTGGACCGCGAGGTTGTTCACTGGTTCTTCAAGAAACAGGCAAATCAAGCTGAATTTTCCGAAAATTGTAAAAAGTGGCTTGCTTGATGAATGCTGTGAAAGCTTGTTGTACCCTAAAAGACTAAATAAGTGAGACATAACAATTTACATCTAAAATGCAAACTGTGGTTCAAGAATGGGCATTACATGGGCACAGGGCAAGAAAGTGATGGCCTACCTTTCTGCTGAATTCTGTGTATTTATGGAAGTTTGGACGAACGATAACCAATGCTGGGCACAGCTTCTTGCCAATGAATCCAGGCATTGCTGCACGTACGCCATATTTCCTGGCCTCATAGTTTGATGTGGACTGCAAATTGGATATACACATAAGCTCGTTTGTTTAAAGAATGACAGATTGCTTTATAAGTTCCACTTTGAGTGTACATCATTCCATATTACTGTAACTTAAAGAATAATAGCCAGGTACTCCCTGATATTTCAAAACAATTTCAATTGAAACTCTTGAATGATATGCTACTACACAATATCACTTCCTTCAGAAGTGAGATAATTTTTCTGTGTGTCTAGAAGCGCTACTACTTATCAACTACTGTTGAATATAAGATTACTGCAACCAGAGCAAGATGTTGCATTCAAAGCCTTAATACTTTCTCTTTTACATTTATGAGAATCATCTAATACAATTCAACTGCTTCATAATTCGTGTGTCCCTAAATATGATAAACCAAGGGCAATGAAAGCAAGCTTGGGTTACCAGCATTCCCATAGAACCAACTGCCATCGGTTTGTCCCGCAAAGAGGGGTTGTCCAGCATCTCTACAGCCGCATAAAAGGCATCCATGTCAACGTGCACAATGACTCTGTTCAAGTCACGTGTGCACTCCATCTTTTCAACAATAATGTCCATCTGCAAACATATATGAAGGTTTCACAGTAGAAGCATTTCATATAGAATTTATTTACATAAAATACTGCAAAAAGACCAACAAAGACCCTCATGCGAAATCTCACACTTGAAGTAAATGTAATGTTACCAAAACATGCTTTGTGTACTTGCGTGTCTGGCTGTTTATAAAAGAACAATAATTACAAATATGAGGATGAGTCCGTGATGCTTAATTCGTCTATTTATGTTAGATCTCACGTGGGCTAACAACAATGCCATATATCTGAGCGGCAAAGTACTTTGCAAACAAGATATTGCAAAAATTAGATGGACCACAGTTGTTTTTTACATCCAACAGCTTTTCTAGCTAACGTTGCTGCCATGTGATTAGACAAGTGTATAGAATGCACATATTCAGCGCAGGATCCAAAAGATTGTGTGAACTGTATAATGTACAAACAAAATATCTGCAATGCCGCTAGCCAGAGGATTGCACTATCTCTATTCGCAATGAAAAAACACAAGCTGTCATACTAACCTGGTGCTGGGAGGCTTGTAATTGCGCAGGACTCAGGGTCTTAAGCTCTGCAAGCATTGCCTCAATTTTTACATTTATACGTTTTTGACGCTTCTGCTGGTGCTCATAATAAGGCGTTCCCTTCGATGCTTCTTGGATAACCTTGTTGACATGATCCTTGTCGATCCCTTGAAGGCCTGCTTTGCTAGCATTTAGTTCCAGTATTTTTACATCTGTCATAATATATCAATTGACAATTAAGTGTTAATCCCAGGTTGCACAAAGTTCAACAAAAGAGCAATACCGAACTGTGATTAGAGAGATAAGCAACGCAAAACAGAACAATGAAATGCACAGGGCTGAAGATAACTTGTATTTGCGGCAAAGTGCCGCATCTAGTCGTGTTTGCCGATGGTTTTAAAGCGCTTAATGTCACTAAAAGGTGAATTCCTCGATACTGTGGGTTCCACACGACGATACCACAGAAAGTTTCACAAACGCTGGGCTTAATGGGCTCGTAGATTTCTTTATATGTAAGCTTAAACTGCTGCCTGTAACCAGTGTTACTAGCTGTGACTATTCTGAAAACAACGATTTGGTTGTTGCAAAATGGCCTTTACGTACTGCTGCAGACTATGCACGTAGTCCCCAGCAATGTCTAGTCCAAGGCATTCCTTAGGCTAGGAATACTTAGTCATGTACACTGTAACTGTGAGAAATATCAGTCACTCTTTTAGAATATTTAGTACTGCAATTGATCTTTCTTGAGTAAGCACTCGCTCACATTGTAGAAGCTTTGTTTGTGATGCAGGGCGGAACAGTAAAAAATTTTCTTTTTGCTGAATATGTAATTCTAAACGACGCATTCCTAGGGTCGACGCATAGGCCCTAGAGAAAATATTAGCCCTTGTTTATTTAGTACTTGATATTTCATTATTTGGTCCAAGCACCAGTGGTCAAGGCTGAACCTGAAGTGCTTCAGATTTTGCATAAGTACATCGTCTCTCGAAGGAAGGCTAACATGTTACACAACTTTTCCTTTCTTATTAAAGCTTGATCAACATTTTTTTTCAACAGGCTTGAACCGGGAACGAAGGCCTACAGCTGTGTTTCTGCTATGAACCTCGCAGTGCATGCCAGAAAGCAGCGTATTTCTTTCACGTAGGAGCTTGATCAAGCGAAAGCCAGGCCGAAATGATCTGCAATCACTTCACTCTGTAATCATGATCTGACCACACTCAACCCTATCCCCCTCCAACGTCCCGCTGTGCAGTCTGCAGAGTAAAGTCTGGTATGGTGTGGTCACTCAACACATGACATGCACTCACCACGCGTCTCCATAAGTTCCTAATATTCTCGGAGTGGCGAGATCACTAACGCAGCTGAGGAATGGCGACAGACATCTTCATGCACTGCTGAGAAACTCTGCACCGAATAGTCACATATACGTTGTCCGACGAAGGCGGTAAACTTGATAGTACACTGTGCAGAAAATGCTAATGTCGCAAACCGAACGTGCGCGCCATGAATGCGCCAGCAATTACCGGAAGTTGTGGCTGCTCCCGGAAGTTGACTATGAGCGAAGGAAGGAAGGAGAAGCCATGGAAAGCACAAGAAAAGCACGGAAAGAGAGGTCGGAAACACGGAACGCCTAAAAAAACCGTGAGGTCTCATCGACGACTTCGACCCTGAACAGCTGTAAAGCAAGCGCACACACATGGAGCGAAGCAGCTGATGCGAAGCTGAATATGAATGAGAAGCGCACCATCGCCCCGAGTGAGGCTGGTTTTCAGTAATTATTGAAACACAAATGAGAAAATGGGAGGCCACGCATAAGATATTGTAGACTCGCTAAAGCGGGAGCACTCGGCATCAAATTCGTCAAAGCGGCGTGTAGTAATAGTCTTCTTGGTCTCTTCAGCGTTGCTCTGCAACCTTACACATGCCGCTATGAATGACAGGTTGCTGGCATTTGTACTACGGCAAACTGGTAGGTGTTCTGTGCTACGGCTTTCATGTCATGATGTCGGGCAGTTTTAGCATAGCACCCTTTGACGTTTAAAACGGCGGGCAGTCATGGAAGCCTCTCTCTATTTGCTGTATCCCTGATATGTGTCGGCTACCGCTAAAGCGCGAAAGTACGAGTGTTGTCTTTTGGAATTGTGTGAAATACATTTCTAGTAGAACCGATCAGTTTCGATCTTGCGTACTTTGCGTCGACCATCACCGTACTGTTACAAACCTACAAATTTCAAGGACTAGGCTGTGTAACACTGTACTCGGAGGTAAGGTTTTTACGTATAATAATGGTGTTTCTGTCATTATTTCTAGCCGCGAGAATTCCCTGAAGGGTGTCATGCCTCACGTATGTGCGGAGACACTCATCGAACAGTCAAGGCCTGAGGGTAGCTCAGCTCTCCAGGGAGACACTAACAGAAGTGCTTTCACGCCTTACAAGGTGAGCGATGGTTGCCTATACAATGTTTAGTGACATCATGCTGAGGTCTGTCTGTGTATGAATTCTCAATTTATCGGACAGACCTCTGCAATGTGCTGAGTAAAGAAAGTTCAATTTCTCTGGCAGTTTCGCAGATCGAACCGTAGTTACTGTGCTTGTCAATTTTTGATGGAGCGTAGTGTTCTGTGCAAACTCAGGACTAGTGGTTTCATGCACTTACTTCATAGGCCACTCCGGGTGATATTGTGGCAGATGAAAACAATGAGTTTGATGTGCATCACAGGGATCGCTCTTTTGACGGCGGTGGCTGGCTCGCTGAGAGTGTGACAATATTTGTGCGAAAACACAGAGACAATAAAGAGCAACACAAGGATGTTTACTTTTCCTTGCATTGCTCTTCATTTTCCCAATTTTTCTTGCAAAAATATCGTCAAGATCAATTCATTACAACTAGGCTGACTCTCACTATTGCTCTCGGAGCTTTCTCTTGCTGCCATAAGTGAGTTCATAGCCAGAGGAGCTGAAAGGTTTAGCAAAATTGCAGTCCACCCTACCGTTACATGAAACCGTAAAGAAAACATCAGCTTTTGGGAATGACAGCTTCATAGTTGAAAAACTGGCAAAGATTTCTTCATTCCGCAAATGTTCCAAAAGCACCATATGGTCCAAATTTCCGGAGCCCTCCACTGCGATGTTCCTTATAAACATATCGTGGTTCTGGGACGTAAAATTCAAGATAGTACTATTATTTCCACAAACGTTCCTTCCCCTTGGAGGCTTCTGCAGAATTTGTCAGCTGTGACTATAGTAAATTTGTTGTACATGACATCTTCTTGGGCTCCTCCCTGTTGACATGTCTACAAAGTCTTGCTACCTTATTAGGGGCAACAAAAACTACTTCCACTTCTGATTTTGCTCGTAAGGGCCGAAGAAGCCGTTGTGTACAACAGAACATACGACACTGTTTGTAGGATGCACTGTCAGTGCCATTTAAGAGGTTCCGCTCTCCTGCAAGAAGATGTACGTTAGAAAAGCAGGTTAATTAATTATCAACTATAATTAATTATCAACTATAATTATTAAAAAGGCAGGTTAATTAATTATCAACTAGGTGAACGTCAAAACAATCATAGTCTTAAAACAAGGCGGCAACATGGCGCTCCATTGAGGCATTGTGATTACACACAGGAGCTCCAAAACTGCAAAGTCATAGAAAGATACACAAGCATGTACAGCTGCTTGATAGATGAGGCTTTGGCTATCAAACTAATGGGTGATACCTGCATAAGCGAACCATTTGTAATGCTAAGCAAAGAAGAATTCAACTGTCTCTAATATTCTTAATACATTCACACAAGTGTAATCTTCTTGATTAACAGCTTCTGCCCATTGTATCGCGACAAAAAGCTTGAAGTTTCATGTGCCATGTTTTTCCGCCCATTTTTCTTTATACTGCATTGACTCAATAAAACCACCAACTCTTAGTCAGCGCTCATTCTGCATGTTCCTTAGCTTGTTTCATGTCAAATTTGCACTTTTTTTACCTTTTGAAACGATGTGTGATTAACTAGCCCAACAAAACTCACTTCTTGGTACACAATGCTCAAGCTGTTATTGTAAGTGTGCCTTCATTGACGATTAAATCTTTCTGCAGTCATCAACTGTACTGACCAATCTTCAGCGTGGAAATGTGCCTGTTCATGTCAAATTTGCACTTTTTTTACCTTTTGCAACTGATGTGTCATTAACTAGCCCAACAAAACTCACTTCTTGGTACACAATGCTCAGACTGTTATTGTGTGTGTGCCTTCATTGACGATTAAGCCTTTTTGCAGTCATCAACTGTACTGACCAACCTTCAGCGAGGAAATGTGCCTACCCAGATGCAAGCTGTTCCACTCAGTGAGTGCCAAGGCTCGTTTATCTATTTTTACATGTTTGTGCCTGACAATTTATTTATTATGTCACTGAAACAGCCAGCATGTGTGCCCTAAATGACCAAAGAATGTTGCCGGCTGGGTAGCACATAGGCAGGCAAATTCCGGTTGAGGGCATGGCAAGAATGCACACCTGCTCTTGTATTATATGCCCTGTCAACACAATTGGTAGAGCTTTGAGCGTGTTATTCGAAGGTTGCAGGTATGGTCCCTGATGATGGAAAGTAATATTTTCGTCCACTTTAATAGGCCCTTTTAATAACTGTAAAGCTAGCTTTTCTGCGATGCAGTTAGTGCAACTAATGGCGTCTAGTCACTTACTGGAAACGCGGCTTCAAGTGCCGTTTTATTGTGCTGTGACGCGAAGACTCTGCTCTCTTGGCTTAAATGGCCATAATAGACAAGCCCCAGCATGTGTAACTATGGGACTTCATCTCCACTTGAAGGACGACAGGTGCTGCCATTAGTTAGACAAATATGCAGCGCAGGGAAGTGCACTCGCTGATTATGAAAAGGGTCTATTTCCTCAGATTTATGTCGTAATTACTACAGATAATGTTACATATACTTTATTTGGGTTTTATGCTGGTTCTCATTAATGCTTTGGCTAACAAAGAAAAATGAGCTTTTACCTTCCCCTTTTTTTGTTCAAGTTGGCTCAAGGTATTTCATGGGAAAGCTGCCAGAGGCACCACTCAATTGAGATATTGAAATCGAAACTTGTTGAAAAACCTGTAACACCATGGTATTGATCTTTGTATACAGTGAAACCCCATTAATACGTACCTGCTGGGGACGGCGGCATAACTACGCACTAAACGTACTACGCATCAACAACCAGCTACAAATTTACATTTTCTGACATGCGCCATCGCCGCCAAAAAAGGAAGAAACGCAGTGCCGCGGTAAATATTGCCTCAAGTGAAAGAACTTGTTGTTTGTTGTTCGGGCTGGTTGGTACAACATTTCAAAAAATTAATTTGAGCACAAAAACACTACACATTCACGCGCAGACACACCCAGGCATCAAAACACGCGTGTTTGATGCCTGGGTGGGTGTGTGCGTGAATGTGTAGTATGTTTGTGCGAAATGTGTAGTGTGTTTGCGCACAAATCAATTTTTTGAAATTACCTGAAGTGCCCACCGCAAAGCCATTTCTTTCTTTTTATCAAAGTGCAGGATGCCGATAAGCATTTCGAAACTACCGCGGGATCCGCGATATGCAGCGTGGTACAGAGATAGAACCATGGGGAACGAAACAACATTCCTTCCTCCATGGACAGATAAGACACAATTGGCTGTTTATGATACAGCTGTTCTGCGGTCTGCTTCTAAGCGAAAACGGATGCAGTTTTCTTTTTCAAAACGCGGTACAGTCGCAGAGAGCCAAATCATTCACTGCATGGCTAGTTGTGTGCAGCGCTTAGCTAACTCTGCGCACACTGTGACTGCTGATCCACTTGCTGCTCAGATTCAGCGAATAGCCTGCTGGGTTAATGCGGCGACGAAAAGCTTTCCGCAAGCAATGTATTCTCTGCGATGCTCTAGAAGTCTTTTTTTTTTTTTTTACCAACCAGCCCAAGTAGCCACCCTTTTGCATCCCTCCAGCAGTCCTTGCAGTAGACAGAGGCGTATTGTGACGGGGCGAGATCTAGGCTTATAGGATAGCGTCCACCGAGAATCGGTAGCCGAACAAGATGGCCGAGTTGCCTCTCGCGCAAGCGCCTAACGCAGGTGTCTTCTTCATCTTCGCAAAGTGCCACGCTTGCTCCTGTCGATGATGCACCGTAACATCACTCCCCTGCGGCGGAAGCGCCGTCACAGGCGCTTAGTATGGCGGTGGCGACGAGTGAGCAGGGTGATACGGTTTGAGTCTGGAAACGTGTACAACGTCCGTCTGGAGTGAGGGGGTCGAAGAGGCATTGTTTAGGGGTGCGATCTCGTAGCTCAGGTCACTGAGTTGTCGGAACACTTTGTAGGGGCCATGGTAGTGTGGTAGTAGCTTCTCCTGATAAGCGACTTGGCGGTTTGGTGTCCAGAGAAGTACCAGAGACCCCGGCGAGAAGTGCACGCTTTGGTGGCGACTGTCATAGCGGTCTTTTTGGTGCGCTTGCGACAAGTGCAGCCGATCACGGGCAAGCTGACGGGCTGCGTGGGCTCGAGAGTGACATCGCTGGCGTACTCAGTAGACAAGGGGGCAGCCGAAGGAAGGAGCGTGTCAAATGGTAATGCTGGATGTCGGCCAAATAGCAAATAAAACGGGGAATAACTAGCTGTGTCGTGCCGTGAAGAATTGTACGCAAACGTGACAAAGGAGAGGGCTTTGTCCCAGTCACAGTGATCTGGCGAAACGTACATTGACAGCATCTGTGTCAGCGTTCGGTTCAGACGCTCAGTCAATCCATTTGTCTGTAGATAATAAGCGGTGGTAAGCTTGTGCTCAGTGGAGCAGGTGCGGAGAATGTCATCCACAATAGTGAAAGGAAGTACCTTCCTCGATCAGTAAGCAGCTGCCGCGGAGCGCCGTGATGAAGAATGACTTCATACAAGAGAAAGTCAGCGACGTCAGTGGAACAGCTTGTCGGCAGTGCTTTAGTGATGGCAAAGCGTGTGGCATAGTCTGTGGCGACTGCAACCCATTTATTTTTAGAGGTGGACGTAGGAAACGGGCCCAACAGGTCAAGGCCAACACGGAAGAATGGTTCCGTCGGTGTGTCAATGGGATGTAGGAAACCAGACGGTAGCACAGAGGGGCGCTTGCGGCGTTGGCAGCGGTCGCAAGCAGTGACGTAGCGAACCACAGAACGATACAGTCCGGGCCAGAAAAAGCGACGTCGCACACGATCGTAGGTACGAGAGACGCCTAGGTGACCGGCTGTAGGTACGTCATGTAGTTGTTCGAGAACGCTGGTACGCAGGTGATGGGGAAGCACGAGTAGTAATTCCGGGCCATCAGCGTTGGAGCTGCGACGATACAGAATGTTGTCGTGCAGTTCGAACAAGCGAACGGAAGGGTCTGTTGGAGCAGAGGTCAGACGCTCGATGATGGAGAGTAACGACGGGTGACGTCGTTGTTCGATGGAGATATCACCCAAAGCGTGGATGGAGAGAATGCAGGGGTCTGAATCAAGGTCTGTCAAGTCGGGTGTTTCAACCGGATAACGTGACAAACAGTCTGCATCTGTGTGCAGGCGTCCCGACTTGTAGTGGACCACGAACGAGTATTCTTGCAGACGGAGCACCCAGCGACCGAGACGTCCAGATGGGTCCTTTAGCGATGAGAGCCAGCAAAGAGTGTGATGGTCCGTAATAACGGAAAAAGTTCGGCCATAAAGGTAGGGCCTGAATTTTGCCACGGCCCACACTAAAGCTAGGCATTACACGCTCATTGATGAAGAACTTCCGTTCGGCAGGTGAAAGAGACGACTGGCGTAAGCAATCACGCGGTCCTTCCCATGCTGTCGTTGGCCAAGGACCGCCCCAATTGCATGGCCACTGGCATCGGTCCGAAGCTCTGTAGGTGATGCAGGGTCGAAATGGGCCAGTATTGGTGGCGTAGTCAGCAGATGATAAGAGCCGAAAAGGCGTCCGCTTGCTCTACGCCCCATCAAAGGGAACGTCCTTCTTCAAGAGATTAGTAAGCGGTCGAGCGATGTCGGCGAAGTTGCGGACAAATCGACGGAAATAGGAACATAGCCCTACAAAACTTCGGACGTCCTTGGTTGAACGTGGTTCAGGAAATTGTTGTACTGCTCGCACCTTGTCGGAATCTGGTTGAACACCAGCGGCACTGACAAGGTGGCCGAGTATGGTGATTTGGCGACGTTCGAAATGGCATTTTGCAGAATTGAGCTGGAGAGCGGCTCTTCGAAAAACATCCAGAACGGCTGACAGACGTGTTATATGGCTGTCAAAGGTAGGTGAAAAGACGATGACATCGTCCAAGTAACATAAGCAGATGGACCACTTATATCCTCGGAGAAGGGAGTCCATCATGCGCTCGAAAGTTGCCGGCGCATTACATAGTCCAAACGGCATGACTTTGAACTGGTAGAGGCCGTTGGGCGTAACGAAAGCGGTTTTTTCACGATCCATGGGGTCGACGGAAATTTGCCAATAGCCGGACCGAAGGTCGATAGACGAAAAGTATTGGGCACCATGGAGACAATCGAGGGCGTCATCAATCCGAGGCAAAGGGTAGACATCTTTGTGGGTCACTTTGTTTAAATGGCGATAGTCCACGCAAAAGTCCCAGCTGCCATCCTTCTTCTCAACGAGCACGACTGGGGAGGCCCAGGGGCTGGATGATAGTTCTATTACTTCTTTAGTAATCATTTTGTCCACTTCATTCTGAATTACTTGGTGTTCCTTGTGAGATACGCGATATGGACGCCGCCGTATAGGACTGGCATCACCAGTGTTGATGCGGTGAGTCACTGCAGTTGTTTGGCTGAGAGGGCGGTGGTCAAAGTCGAAAATGTCTCTATATGATGTTAGCAGACGGCGGAGGCTGGCAGCTCGCGCTGGAGTGACGTCAGGAGCAATCATCTTGTTAATGTCATCGGCAGGCAGAGTGTAATTGCGGCCAAGACAGGGGGGATGTAGTATCGGTGTCCAAACCAGTAACGTTGCAGCTGTCAAGCGGAGATTGGGTGGCCAAAGACATGTCTTGCGGAATAACTTGAGTCAAGAGACTCACGTTGAATAGTGGTATAACCACTGTATTATTAGCGACGGCGACAACAGTGGGAGCAAGGGCGACGTCTCGGGCCATCAGTACGTCGACTATAGGAGTGACAAGGTAGTCACCATCGGGCACATGACGTGAGCACGACAAAGTGACATATGTAGCAGCTTGCGGAGGCAAGCGAACGTGGTGACGAGAGCATAAACGGGGAGAATAGTCAGCTGCAAAATCGGCAAGCTGCGGCAGTTCAAGCTGAAGAGCACCAGTGGCACAATCAATGAGTGCAGAATTACGTGACAGGAAGTACAAACCAAGTATTAGGTCATGAGGACACATTTTCAATGACGGCAAACTGAACTAATGTAGGATGACCGGCAGTGGACACGGGCCGTGCAGCATTCCTTGCACGTCAGGGGTCCTCCCATCAGCGACACGAAGTGTGCAGGAAGCGGCAGGTGTGAGCACTTTATGTAGGCGTCGGCGAATGTTCGCGCTCATTACAGAATTGTGCGCTCCAGTATCTATAAGGGCAGAAATAGCCATACCGTCAACGTTAACGTCTAACGAACTTTGTCTTCGTCGGAAGCGTCAAGAGAGGATTTGTGGAGGGAGTCGAGAATGCAGCGTCACCTCCGGGCGCTGCACCTTTTAGTTTTCCGGGTAGGCAGGAGCGGAGTTGAATGGGGACGACTGGCCTGCGAGTCTGCGGTAAGCGGGATGACTGGCGACGTCCTGGAGGCGAACGCGACTGACGACCATGCGGTGACGGAGATCGGCTGTTGAACCTTCTGTAGTTGTTTGGCGGAGAAGGCTGCGCGGCAGATGCGAAGCGGGTGCTGTCCTGTCAGGTAGTGAGGTTCAGACGAAGTCCGAGGTGGCGAGGACCAGCGGTAATTGCAGTAATGGACGACATGACCGATACGGTGGCAATGAAAACAAATTGGTCGATTGTCGACGGTTCTCCACGCAGCAGGGTCGCGAGATCGGGCCGTAAACTGCTGCTCGTGATAGGACGAGGGTGGACGCCATGGAGCTCGCTGCGGGCTGGGCAAAGAGCACACCGAGGGAATACCTATGCTGGCGAGTTCTTAGCGGACGATGGCTTGAACCATGTTAGCAGTGAGTGGGGTCGTGTCACTCGCAGTGGTGTGAGCGGGAGCAGAGGCAATGAATGGCTTCAAGTTCGCGCCGTACAATTCGGGTCACCTGATCCGATGAATCTAGAGGTGGCGGCTGTGTTCTTGCGCGGTCTTCGCAAGCAAGACGACATTGCAGCCGTACTTGGAAGGCGGGTAAACACGCTGTTAATCCGCCGGCTCTTCGCTTGCTCAAAGTGCCGACATTCTTCTATAATGGCGTCCACCATAGAATAATTTTTGGAGATGAAGAGGTTGAATGCGTCATCCGCAATCCCCTTAAGAATATGTCCGACCTTGTCAGCCTCCGGCATCTCGGCATCAGCTTCGCGACACAATGCTAACACATCTTCTATATAGGAGACGTAAGACTCAGTCGAGGTCTGCGCCCGAGACGCGAGCATTTTGTTCGCGGCCATTTTTCTTCCCATCGGCTTTCCGAACAGGTCCAACATTTTCTCCTTGCACACTGCCCGACTCCCAAGTTCTGTTTCATGGTTCTCATACCAGGATTTGGCGGTTCCCCTAAGATAGAATAATAGATTCGCCAGCATAAGAGTCAGGCCCCATCGGTATCGAGTACTCACACGTTCGTACTCTGCCAGCCAATCTTCAACGTCAACTTCATCTGGATCGCCGGAACCACTAAACATGACAGGATCCCGCGGGGGTTCGAGCACGAAGGTCGTGGTCGCAGAAGGAGATGTAGTTACCACATCATCTCCTGCCGCAGGAACACCAGGAGCAGATGCAGACGCCGTACTTTCCAGTCATCGTTGTGGAATGACCCTTCAAACGACGGCCGCTGCGAAGTTCCGTTGCGAGGCGGTTACCCCGCACGTCCGCCAAATGTGACGGGGCGAGATCTAGGCTTATAGGATAGCGTCCACCGAGAATCAGTAGCCGAACAATATGGCTGAGTTGCCTCTCGCGCAAGCGCCTAACGCAGGCTGTCTTCTTCATCTTCGCAAAGTGCCACGCTTGCTCCTGTCGATGGTGCACCGTAACAGTATTTTGGCTGTCACTAAATAAATGCGTGCAGCATGGTAACAACAGCGCTACGATTGCTGTACGGTACGCGTGTTGGCATAATACAGGAAGGTTTCTAGGTGCCCGCGGTCTGCAACAGCGAGCTGCTTGCATTTCTGGAAAGCAGTGCGCGCTTGAACACGGTCCCGCAAGAACAAAGCGGCAGCGATCAGGCGGCCTAGCGCATTCAGGTAGTCGCCCACTTAAAGCATGCAGTAGGCCTAAAGTGACGCTACACCACATGCATGCCTGAGCAGATAACCGGGGATGCTACTGATAAGGCTTTTCGCCGGCGATAAGTCATACCGGCACATCTGGCGGTGGTCGCCACCTTCGCCTCCGTTTTTTTCCCCCTTGACAGCTACTTGGCAATGTCCATCGCCGCAATCGCACGGAAGTCAGAATAACTTATCAGCTGATCTCTGTGCTTATCAACATGACAGAAAATCGTTCACGGCACATTGCGGCGTCTGCAAGTTCAGCGGAGCAGTAAAATTTTGTCGCGCAAAGTGTTATTGCCGGTACACAGTTAGTGCGCACTAGCCGGTAGGCATAGGCCGAACGCTACAGCTTAAGCGGTCTGGGAATGCATTAGTCTTTATGAGACTCGGTCGGGGATTTGTTGCAACTACGTTATAACCGTTAGTACACTTAAAGCAGGGTATGCACTAACGAGGTTTGACTGCATGTGTTGCTTCTGTAGAAGGATATACAGTGCAAAATTTCAATTGAGTACGGAGATTTCTTCTACTGTTCACACAGTATGCAAGTTCGATAAATAATCTCGTCCCATTTGTATGCATTTATTATTTACCTCAGCCACTTCAGCAGTGAGAAAATGTCTTTATGTGTCTGGCCATGACTTTGGTAATACCAGAACCAAAGAACTGAATATAGTGGTGCACAAATTGCACATGGAAAACTTTCTTGAAGAAAGAAGTACATGTGAAATCTCATTCTTTGCCCCTGTGGTTCCAAGCAAGAATAATTGTTTTTCTCTTCCAGGGCGTTGCATTCATCAACTGTCTGCGCAGGGAGAGATCTCTCCGGATCAGATAAGTGTGTAACATTCTGAACGCACAAGAACTGCACATATATATTTTACTTTTGGCGAGTTTATCCGAAAAATCATTGTGGTCCGGGGGGTTCAAGCTTCGTGCTCTCTCACTGTCAAACAGAATTTTTTATACACATTGTATAGTATCTGTACGTTACATGCACAAACACGTGCGAGTGTGAATATTTCCCTTCGCTTGCCAAATTAACTTGTAGCTACACCCCTAACGATTGCATATCTGTAACATTAACTAGCAGTGACAATATTTGTAATGCTGTATATTTTGAAATACAGAATACCTTCTGACATATGAAAAAGCTGGTACATCATTTCTGGAGAAATTTCCTATGTGAAGGAAGTTTTACAAAGAGAGAAAATTGCCCTCTTCCTGAAAGTGAGCACAAGGTGACAGAAGGGACTTGGTTTTCTTTGGCACATAAAGAGACGGGACAAAGCAAGCATGCGCACGGTACCAATGCTGATCCTCGCATCGTCACAGTGGCTGTTTTCATTTTTGCTGTTTCTGTGTGGAACGTATGTATGCTCTCGCACACTACCCTTACAGTGAAGAAGGTGTCAGAATCAGTTTTCTACTGATGGCAGAGTGCTTTTCAATCACTATATGTGTCTGCTGCTGTCATGCCTGTTTATGCAATCACATGCAGCATCTGAGCGTCTGGACCTGCGCGATGAGGCAGGCCTGACGCCGCTGTTGTGGGCAAGCGCTCATGGCCAGTTGTCAACGGTGCGCCACCTGCTTGCCAAGGGGGCACAGGTTGGCGCACAAGGCCTAAGGGGCGAGACTGCTCTGCTGCTCGCTGCTGCTCAAGGGCATTCGCACGTCGTGCGCTATCTGCTGCAGCACGGTGCCAGCCCAAACCAGGCTGACCAGGTGAGCAGAGTAATTTAGAATTGGAACATGACACGGATACAAGATGTACTATCAACAGCAAAGGTTTGTGGGACGTTGAATCTTCAACAAATGCAAACTTCTGCTATATCAGTGCTTAATGCTTGTAATCAAGCTGGTGACTGTATACATAAGAATGCCAAGTGCAGTATGGAACATCCATTTCAAAATTACCTTCCCAGAGAAAACGGGAATTCAGCTTCATTGAACACTTCGCGTCCAGCAAACTTTTGCTGTTGAGAGTACATGTGCACAGTAGTCCCTGCTATAAAACAAAGCAACAATTAAAAAAATAGTGTCCATGCACATTGACGTTTCTAGTTCTCTTCTTTCATATCAAACTAGCCCAAGCATTTGACTGAACAGATTGGATGTAGCAGTAGTGGCACAATACAAATGCTGTCTCATCCCTTTGAGCACTGTAAATTTTAATAAAAGTGTATTATTAGCTAGCTCAACTATCAGTATTGCTTTAGTTAAGCACACATTGTGGAAGGCACATAAGCACTGCGCACACAGGTTAAGTGCCAGGAGGGGGGGGGGATTTTGTATATTCTGAAGTAACCATTGCTGCATTTAGTGGAACCAATCATGATCAATCGGTGTAATTAAAGAAATGCTAAAATGTTGTCAGTGTAGGTAGCCTCTTTAGTCAGTGATGATTCTTTTAGCGAACAGTTACTATTGGCACTGATGCGATCTACAAGCCTGTTGAAGCTGAATGTCTGTTTAATCCATAAACAAAAGGAGGAGAAGGGATCACTGTCTCCTTGTACAGATCTGATGCCATATTGTAGGCCTTTGGAGGCTAGACTGAACAATCTGGGCATGGAGCATAACCTGGGCATGGAGCATGCCTCAGATCGATTGGTACTGTACCTTTCGAAAAGCATTTTGAAAGGCACATTATTCCGCAGTGCTTCATGCAATGTGCGTTACTAATATATGCTCAGTCTAATGCTCACTATAGCTAATTATAAAGAACAGATATAATATGTTTTTTTTTTTGTTTGTGCATTCTAGGAAGGGAACACTGCCCTAATGTATGCTGCTCTTGGAAACCATGCTGCCACAGCTCAAGAGCTGCTTTCAAGTGGCGCTGACATGTGTGCTCAAAATAATGTATTTGATACCGCTTATGACCTCTCGGTGACGATGAGTGCACGACAAGGTGAGCGTGCTACTGCTTTGTGCATGTCTGAAGCCGGCATGGTGTTACAGTTTGACGCGAAAACATCTAACCTTTTTCTAGGGACGGCCGCTTATAAACAACACCAGCAAATTATACCTGCAAATTACAGTTCTTTCACAATATTTTAAGGCTGTCTTTCAAGTTCGGCATAACTCACTGAATCTCCTGGTTTTCCAATCTCGTAGTTTTGCACGCACAGTGTCATAAGTATAAAGCTGCTGAAAATAAAGGTAGCTTAACACTTGGCAGTTCATTGTCAGGTCCTGCCTCATAGTGCACACCGCGGTTTGTGGTTGAGCACTGCCGGACAAGTTCTTTCACAGCTGATTCATGTGCCCAATTTCTCGCTACAAAATTGCCATCTGTAAAAGAGTAAGAAAACCTACTTCACTTGAGGTTTTAATTTTTTTATTCAGGCCAGAATCTACAGAACGTGTAAGAATGTTTTGGAACTCAGAGCATTAATTTAGGCTGTTGCCTTGCATTCACGCAATTTCAAATAGCTCTTTTGATTTAGTTATGCAGTCATTGGAGAGTGTAGAGAATAACTGGTACACTTAAGCAAATGTGGAATTAGATGTCATATTACATTGGGCAACAATCTAGGGTTTTACTGCATGCTGCACTGGTGGAATAGACATCGTAACTTATGAAAACTGCAGTGTATTGGGCCTGCAGTTTTGGGGGCTTTACAATTGTTTTATGGCCCCTGTGCAGTGGACTCAGTCAACATGGCATCAAATCATCGCTGTCTCTCATAATCAACAATATTGAGTTTCTATTTGTTATTGAAACCACATTTTTTCATGTTGTCCCACTATTTGGATATTTTTGTAGCATTTTTTATGCAAAACGAATTCGTTGGCAACTGTATTGCATAAAAGACTAGGTTTTGATATAATATAGTAAATTGATTTCATCATTTCCGTTACATTGAGATTTGATGGTACTCGAGGGTGCAGTAGATGTGTGCATCTACTGCACCGTCAAGGTACACTCTCCTGCCTAAATTTGGAACGGCGCACTCCAATGTGTAAGGAATTTCTGCCATCTTATTATACGTAATGTCTAGGGGATGTGTTGTGGTGCTGTGAAATGTTTCTTATGATCAAGCTTGTCTGAATAAGAAATTGGGAGCTATGATGCTGTTTAATGGATCACTATTGACAATTATTGGTTGCTCATTGTTACATTAATGAAAGTGCAACTGCCTCTTTGCCAGAGTATCACATTTACATTCAACTGCATTTCTGTTTTTCTCTTTCAGTGCAGCAAGTCTTGGACAACTTTATTTTGAAGCTACTTCAGTGAGATATGGTTCAGTATCACTATTGTGACAGAGGCCATTTTTAGCATTTGGACTTCTGCTTTTGAGCTGTGCTAGTGGACATTTATGAAGTGTTCTGCCAATTTTATCCACACGATCCATCTGCAGATAATGTTTTTGGTCATGTGCGTAAGGTGTGATATGAAACTCGTAACACCGGTTCCGCCTGTTGGACGGCTCTTACAGTATGCTGCATCAGATCGTGTGATTAGTAGGCTTGTGTAAATATTGAATTTTAGGTTCGAAGTGGAATAGCGGTTTTGGTCAAATAATGTTGAATCAAATATAGTATATATGACATATAAATAAAAATGGGCATATTTGTCATCACCAAACTAACCTGCACAATATATTTTTTTAATTGAAGCAAGGCTTGTGCAATCATTATTTTTTTGCTTCTGAGGAAGTGGAAACAACTTTGAATAGTAGCAGGATTTGACTTTCGGTAAAATGCAAGTGATAACTTGTAAAATATGTTGCATTTTAAAATTATTGTACTTATAGTAAATAAGTTGGTATAACACACTTTTAAACTTTAAAAGTGAATCGATGTGAGTGTTATACCTTCAGATAACCATGAAGTGGAGTTCCGCAGCAGTGCATATTTCTCGTAGATATGTGTTTTCATGGCTTAGCACTTCTCTACTGCAGTGAAACATCATTACAGGTGGTTACGTGCAATTTAATATGCATTTATTCGTTCGTTTTGAATACTTCGAAATTTTCAATAATTTAAATTGTAATCGAAGCGAATTCGAATACTGCAATATTGGTTCAAATATTTGAAGCATTCCAATATTTGCACAAGCCTAGTGATTAGCTAAGCTTCATTGTAGATACCTAAGATTTTAGCAATTGTCATCACTGTGCCAATATGGCAAGTTGGTCGAGTTGGTGCATATTGATCTCACGAAAAAAATTTCGCATTGAATACAGGGACAAGAAAGCCGTGTCAGTATCTGCACAGCTCTTTGCAATGGCATGCAGTCCTTACGAGGGGCAGTTAGAAACAAGCACAGTGTGCATCGCAATTAGTTCTAAATGTAGTAAAAAACACCACTGTTAAAATAAGCGAAATTTCTCATTACTAGACGGTCACTACTTTTGAGCTTGTCACCTTTCGTTTATATCATCTTCATGCACTACATTACACCTGATTGATCAATGGGCTTTTAAATAATATTTTTGTGTCATCTCTATAGCATTACCCAATGACTTTACTGAGTGCCACAATCAAGCACAGATGCGCATTAGTAGTGGGCTTGTCTGTTGTGAAGCAATGTATCTCCGCTGCACTCTACACATGCCCTCCTCATCTCCACAGTTGAAACGTTTCAGCATCAAAATGCACACGTTTCTCCAAAGAACCCTTACTTCTAAGGTATCATGTTAAAATGCCAGTAAACAGGCCCCAAATTTTTTCATGCCCCTCAAACTAGCTTGCTAATTCGTTCTGTAGACAGCGGCAATCACATGTTCTGAATATAGTAGCGAAGTGCACCGTGCAGACCCTCCATTTCAAAAAGATTCCTGCACTACTTTTCTTTGCCAAAACTATCCCCCTTGTACGCACAGTGACGCAAACTTGCCCATGGGCAACTTGATGTACCACTGAGCTTGTCGATTGGCCCTTTGCTCTACGATATGGGGCCTTGGTCCTGTGGTGATGCTCTTTCTCGTGCTTTTTGTCCCCTTTCCCCTTCCCTAATCCCCCCGTGCAGGGCAGCCAACCGGATGTCTTTCTTATTAACCTCCCTGCCGTCTCCCTTTGTCTGCTTCCAGTTTTGGTCGCGCAGTCCACATTTTCATTTTCCTATGTTACCCTCTGCTCTTTTTTAGAGCCTGAGACTATAGGCAGAAGCAGTATTGCCTGAATCAAAGCCTCCGAGATAAGAGGCGTCTCTTTACTGCTAGGGGAAGGGTGCTCCTTGCACTGCGCTTACTTTTTACGCCACTATGACATGTGCTCATTCTTTTTTCGCCACTATGACATGAGCTCTGCTCAGTCGTTGGCTGCGCGCCGATGATGTACTAGCTGACATGTTGTCACGTTGCCAAAGTAGGCAGATTCATGATGACCTCTCTATGGCGGAGAGAGGTGGCGAGGTCGAGCCAAAATTTTAAACCAGCTGAAGTAGATGTTTTAACCCGTGTAACTTCATTGTTATAGCACGTATTCGCAAAATTTTTGTAACAGCATGTTCACATAGCAAAAGTGCACGCATTTCTCTTCATTACATTAGAGGGAAATGGGTTTTCTAGGTAAGACTAACTTTAGAACAAAATAAAGTTGAATTTGATAGAATTGTTGACGAGAAAATGAAGCTAAAAGGCCTCGTAGCCAACCATGTATTTATGGCAGCCAAGTCTCACAGAAGGAATAAGCAACTGCCCAGAATGTGACATGATGTTTTGGTGGAAATGCAGGTCCCTGATCATTTTAGATTTGTACAAAAGATCACAAAACTAAATATGTCGTGATGCTTCAGTGTAACTGTGGCACTAAAACCGTATTACCACACTATTACAGGCTAATGTATGAAAACAGAGTTTCTCAGTGTACCATGTACGTTATTTAAAATCACGTTCTTTTGCTTTATAGGGCTACGCTCTTTACTGTATGCATAGTGCAATATAAGGAAAGTTCTGGCATTCAAGTGGTTTTGCACACACAGAAACAAGTGAATCGACAAATCCTGACACATTTCGTTGCGTTATAGTGCATGTTATACTGTTTCATACTGAAGTTCATAACGACAGTGATTACGATTGCTTATTCAAGCCTAAAATTTTCTTCCAGCTGACTTAGTTTTCAAAAGCACATGCTTTGAACAACGTTCTGAACTACGTACCAAGATTTTAATTACCTTTACTTCGATTAATGTGCTAAATGAATGTGCCATTTCAGAAGTTGGTACATGACCAGTATTGTTAGAAAGATAGCAATGTAAGCATGTAGCATGTGTGTTCTATTACTGGTGAAATAATTCTGACAGATAAAGTACGAAGCGCTGGAATTTCAGCATGGCAAACGAAAAATACTATTTTTTGTGCGTCCTGAAGCCACCACAAAATTGGTATTGCAATAACCTCTCACTACTGCTAGCATAGGAATTCCTGACCATAATAGTTAATCATTCTTATAAAAAATGTTTTACAATGTAAAAAAAAAGAAGTGTCATAAGTGCAGCATTAATGGCTCTGATTAGAAAGCCTCCAGTGTAAAAAAAATTAAAGAAGAAAAATGATGTAAAATCTACCATAACATTGGTCCCAATAATGTGCATTGTCATGTCTATGTAGTTCTGTGCATGTGGCTCAGAACTTGCTGCAGGTTAACCATGGATTTAATGCACACTGGTTGACTTTAATCAGACACATATTAGTTACATTGAACAGATTACATTATTCAAGTTACTGCATGTGCAAAAGAGCCCACTTTTAAAACAGTACCCTCCCTCGTATCAGTCAATCTTTTTGGCATTGTCTTATAGAGTTGGTGTGATTCATTGATGACCATTTACTGGATTTAACAGTTCTCCAGTGGCTGATGCCCACAATTAGCATCTTGTTTGCAATGTGGCTATACTTCTCTGTTAACTTAGATCACACACAGCTTCCTTTGGCTATTGTTGCATTATACTGCTGAACAGTGACAAACTGTTTCAAGATGGCTCATGCAGTTAACAAGGACAGTGCCTGATTATGTGCAGTGAACACTGCACTGATGATGCATTGTGATGGCAATAGACATGGCAGGGATAGTGTGTGAAAGTGACTGCACCTGCGAAAGTGATTGCCACTGATGGTATGGTATATACCGACGCCAAGATTTCGCAAAGGCACTGACACCCGTCCTGAAAATTTTTACAGACCACTTACGTATGTTGTGTAATCACAATAATGACGTATTACCGTCACTAGTCAATGTTGTGTATGTTTTCCCACCTTGCCAAACCACTATGGCAAGTAAGACAAGAACATGACGTAGCGTTTGCAGAGCTGTATAACTGTGCTACTTGAATGTTTGTGCATTGAACACTGATGGTTGTGGTCAGACCACAACAAAGTGAATTTTGTCTGTAACAATAAAACATCATCTTTTTATAAAAGCACTGTATATTCATTAACAACAAAACATCAAAGCTCTGACAAAACTGATTTACTTTTGAAGAAAAAAAATCGTAGCACAAAACGACACAAGAACAGACAGGTACATAGAACTGCTACCAGTCTTGTGTACCCGTTTGTCCTCTTGTCAATTTTCACTACTATTTCGTTCTTCGCAGGTCATGAACCAACAAGCTGATGAAAATTAGGCTTGTGCAAATAGTGAATTTTAGGTTCTAAGTGAATGGTGATTTGGTTCGAATAGTTTCAAATCGTATTCGAATAGTATAAAGTAAAATAGGTGTACTTGTAATTACCCAAATAACCTGCGAAACATGTTTTAAAAATTGAAACAATGCCTGTGCTAACGCTATTCTTCTTGGATCAAAGGAAGTGGAAACGACTGAATAGTAGCAGGATTTGACTGTCAGTAGAATGCAAGTGATAAACTGTAAAATATGTTAATTGTAACTTTTACTATGCTTGGAGCATATAAGCCGGTATAACAAATTTTTTAAGCTGATGAAATTGGCATGACGAATTGATCCTAGAATAATATTTTCGTTCAACCTTGGAAGTAAGGCTTCGTGGCAGTGCTATTTCTTCTGGATAGGTGTTTTCACGGCTCAGCGTTTCTTCACTGCGGTGAAACAACTTTTACTGGGACACCTATTTATTTAAATACTTTAAAATTTTTATAAATTTAAATACTGTACAATTCATTCGAATATTCGAAACATTTGAGTACTTGCACAAGTCTAATCAAAATGTTTTGCTAAGTCAGATTTACTTACTCTCATTGTGTTGTGGTCATAGGTCGGCGAACTTGCTCATGAGTCTACTCACTCGAAATCACGCAGACTCAGATCGAGCCGCGAGTCTAGAGTCTGAATTAGTCCTGTTGCAAAAAGTTTTGTGATTGCGAGTCTGAGCGAGTTCGGCATGGAAAAATTTTGGTGAGTCTTGAGTCCGAGTGAGTGCAAAGCGCAAAATGTATTTCTTGAGTGAGCCTGATTCACTTCCACTTTCTTTTGCCGACCTACGGTCCTCTTCAGCATTACTATCATCTTTAGCGTTGCTATCAGCCTTAGCATTACTATCAGCCTTACCAGGATTTACGTTCATACTCATGTCTACTCAAATGTATTCTAAAGCAGGGTTGTTCATACATCATTTTCAACATTTATTAATTAGAGGCATGAAAAACGTAGGGGGTGCCTTGACCCCCC